TCCATCTTAAATGGGCCACAATATAGATGCGAAATATTTTGGGGGCATTGTTTTCTCATTAAGCGATATTTTCCATGCTATTTTAAATACTAAAATAGTAAAGTTACTTAAAGTGACTATGTATACCTATAGGTAAAATAATGTAAAGTTTTTACGGTTCGTTGTGTGAATAAATCACTCAATGATTTATTAACGAACTATTTATTTTATAGCTTAATTACAATAAAAACACTAAGAAACTATAAAACTAACTAAACACTTAACTACTAATTATTTATATATCACTACTGTGCAAGAGTCTATTTATTTGCACGTATATTTAATTTATTTAGTCGCGAGTCCCTAAGCTTGACTCACTCTACACTGAGAAAATTCCAATCTTAAATTATCTTAATGAAATTATCTACATACTGTTCAAAATATATCTAATAACCAGTACAAATTATCTATCTGTGACATGAAGACGAATTAAGGTGACTAATAGATACGTTTTAATAAAGTGTCAAAACAAAAAATATAGATCATCTATATTTATATTTTAACAATCATAAAATATCTAAATACCACCATAAACTCAGATTAATATGTCGCTGTTCTTTAAATTATTTTAATGCCAGTGATAAATAACTAAATATGGTTAATAGACGACCTTATTAAAACTTAACATAAGATTGTGAACCACCTTAAATTATCTAAAGACCTTAAGAAGTTGTATAATGGCCTTAACAATTGTTTAAACTCATCTACCTAACTAACAGATTCGGCTTTCCGACTATACTCGAATCGACCAATCGTTTAACTAGCGTCCACAGCACAGAACAGCGTCCTCTGTGGTAGCGTCATTAATTATTTCTCACTTGTTTACGGGAAATTGAGGATAATATTGAATCGTTTATAGAAGAAAAAGGGCGTTTCTTCACAATTGTTTTGCGGTAATTTTACAGAACATAGTAATGGCTTTCAAAGTTACTCTGCTTGAATGGGGGCTCAGTGATTTTGTTAAAGGATTTGAAGGTAGGTTCAATTTCTTTCTATATAGTTTCCGGGGTCCCTGCAATAAACATTTAAAAAATTCATCCTGTATTTAATATGTTGATGATACTTTTATAAATGTTTATTTTATAGGATATTGGTAAAATCTGAAATATATTTTTGGTAAAATGTTAACAATTTATTAATATTAGGTACCATATTTATAAATACAACTTGTACCATATAACTAAATACAGCTTGAGAAAATTTACCAAGATTTTTAATAGGTCAGAATATTGGCTTTGATTCCTTAATTTATTATTTAATTATACATGTATAAAGTTATAATTTTAAGATGGCCTATCTGCTGAAATAGTTTAATTTTTTTAAAGCTCAATTGTTATCTTTCTTTTTAGGGTAGACTGGCTAAAAATGTTCAGAAAATTATGGAGTTAACTAAATGGAAATAATCCTTAAAAGTATTATTAATTAATATTTCTACTAAAAGTACCCAGGTATCACACTGACGTATGCTGACGTTTATATGACGTCTTCTGACGTTAAAATGACGTTAGCAAAGTCATTTCAACGTCATATAAACGTCAGTGTGCTACCTGGGTAAAGTCTTGAAAATGAAAATAAAGTCCCAACGCAGAAAATGCACTAATAAGGTCGTCTAGTAAAAATAATTTCGGTATTTATCTCTATTTTATTTCCTAAAAAAATAAGGAAAGCATTAATTTATGCTAATTGCGATATGTTTTTCTGATTCTTTTATAAACATTTAGTTTAGAGTGCTCCAATTGATGAAAATAATGGTGTTAATGATTTTTTTAAATAAAATAAAAATGAATGCCAAAATTATGTTCAAGTACTCGAAGAATAAAATGAAAATCCAACCTTTTAATGCATTTTTTCGCGTTGGGGCTTTATTTTATTTTCAAGACTTTACTTTTAGTAGAAATAATGCTTTTAAGATTTATTTTCGTTTATTTATACCATGGTGCAGCTCCATTTATAATAAAATTAAATTATTGCCGTAAATAGGTCATCTTAATATGATAGCTATAGCATATTATTATGGCAAATAAATATATTTAGGATCATATTAAGATAGCATAAGAGGATATTAGGATGGAATTAAGATGATCATAAAATAATATATTTACCATTATAAGATTATTTATTTGCCATATATGTACCAATTTTGGATCATATTAAGATGTCATAAGAAGATATTTAAGTGATATTAAGATGATCCTAAAATAATATATTAACCCTTATAAGATATATATTAATGTCTGATATAAAAACTTTTGATGGTCTTATGATAATTGTATTAAGTTTGCCTATTGATGGTCACAAAGTATAGTTATTAAATTGAATCTATTAATGGTATTTAAACGGTCTTAATGTCCCCTATTTTACTGCGATATCTTAAATAAGGTTATTAAGAATCTTAAAGATGGTCTTAAATTATTTTTCTCGGTGTACGACACTCCGCTGTACCTTATATATTCAGTGTACCCACTTCACGCAAGCACCTTCCCGAACATTCCGCTCGAGCGCTGACTCACCGGCAATGAGTCATCATTCCGAGATCCAGAGCGGTACCCGCAACAAAAAGAAACATAATTATACCTCAAAAAACTATTTGTCCATTATAAATAACAAAAAAACACTTATTAAAACAGTTCGAATAAAACTCAACAAAACAAACACTACGATTCAAACGAAATAAACAATGGCGTAAGTATCATAAGCAATTGCATTAATGTGGGATTTTCGCAAAATATCTATCTCAAGATTCCGCCCCCTAGATTCAAATCTTGCGAATTCGCAGGATCTGTCGAAACGCTTTTACGACCAAATTAAATGGACCAATGGGAGCATTTTTCGCATTTTGCATCTATGAAAGGGGCTAAAATATTTTTTTTCCGTAATTTTATTGATTTTTTTTACGTTTATTTTAATATGCTACATTTATTAATGATTAAAGCAAAATAAATCTCAAATTTTTCTAAAAAATTTCCCAAAAACTATAAAGAAAGTTGAGTTATGAACCCTTAAACGTAACAGTACCCATGCATTTAACGATTCACACGATTAACACGAGTTTGAACTTGCCACTTAAATAAAAACTACCGACAGGTAAAAAAACAATAAAACCTTGCCCAATATCTAAGTAAGCACGCACTGATAAAAAGTAATTGTCACGCGAGCTTTGCTATTTGGTTTGTAAATAAAATTAAGATTTTTGTTTTGTATATTTTATTATTAAAATTAAAAAAATACATATTTGAATTTAAATGTTCGTTATCGAAAAAACCTTTGCGTGTACTTTGCTACACACCCAAAAGTCCCACCTTGACCTTGACATACAAATAATTGAGGTTATCTATCAGTCAGTTTGACGCTAATTTATTCTCATTTTCCAAAAATAATACAATTTAGGTATTTTTATGTTTTAAATTAAGACCTTTAAACACAAAAATACGCTTATTGTATTATTTTCAGAAAATAAAGGTGTGATTAAAATTTTTGTAAGTTTTAAAATTTTTGCAATTGAAATTTTTTTAAATTATTCTACTGTTTTACTACCAATTTCCGCGTCGGGTATTCTGGTATTGTGTTCCAAGTATACTGACTTCAAAGAAGATTCAGCCGTGTTCAGTGTTTGTTTACTAAGCTGAGAAGCTATTAAGCAGATATGCGCAAGTTATTTACTTCAAGGTAGCTGCTCCTGTCAAGTACTGACTTCAAAGAAGATTTAGCGTCGGCCTTATTACGAAGTAAACTACACAGCAAACAGAAAAATATAGAACTGTATTCGATGACGCCACGTTTGAATACAGTTTTCTAAACCCTCGCCACGGTATAGAGTATTCGTCAGTCGAGCGTTTCAATACTCTTCACAGTATAGAGGTCGTAATTTGACTTTTTAACTAGTATTAATATGAAAATTATTTTATGCTTGAAAAAAAACTATACACGACAGGATTGTGATTTTTTTCATTTTATTAATTAATTAAGCTGTGTTGAATATTTTTCCTAAAGGAATAATTGCCAATGGGCCATTTATTCATTTATTCGTAGATGCTACAATACCTGCACTGGTGTGTACTTTTTAATCAATCAGATTTAAATATTGCTGAACTAACATAAAACTACCAGTGGAGATGTGCAGGGTCTACCAACAGACCTCATTACTAAATTATTAAAGTTTAATAGCATATCGATCATTTTTTCAACATAACCTCTGAAATTTTTAATACAAATATAGGTACTTTGTATAATACATAAATATACTTTACATCATATCCTCTGTGCTTTACATGGTACCTGAGTTGTTACGGTAAATAAAAATCAGACAAAGGAACCAAAGAAAGGAACTATTTTTAACAAAATCATATGCAGAAATGAGAAAATTCAAACTACACTTGCATCCATCAAAAGATCAAATCTTCTTGCAATATATATATTACACCCTCTTTTTATACTCTCAGAAATATTGACTAGAACAGTATTAGAGAGACTCCAGTTTCTATAACTTGGTAGAGTAAAGAGAAGTCGAAACCGTTGCGATATTGCATTGCGCTGTTTTTGTATAATTCTCTGGGACATTAACATTGCCAGTAAAATTCGAAAAGCTTGAGTTTCTATGTCTCTGAAGAGAATAGGAATCCGAAGTTGCTGCACCATTGGACTGAACCCTTTTTCAATAATTTCTAGAGACATAAATGACTGCAGAATTCGACAGGGTCGAGTTTCTACCTCTCTGTTGAATATAGAAAATCAAAATAATGTATCTTGTAAGACACCATTGAGTTTGACTTAAAATATAGTCGTGCATAGGTATAGAGGCGAAAAATATAAAAACAAAGCACGATTCAATACAGTTCTGATAAAACTTTAAGATTTAGTATTCAAACGGGGAGTCATCCTATACAGTTCTATATTTTTCCGTTTGCTGTGTAGCTAATGTTTCTAACTTTTACAGTTTACCATAATAAAAATACACGTTTTAGATATATTTTGGGATTTGGGTGACGATTTGCGTGACGGCGTCCTGGGTGGGAGCAACACACTGTATAAAATATTTGTACCTGAGAAGACCGTTTGACGAAGACGCGGATGACCCCGTCTTTGTTCCACACGATACAAGCGATGTTAACATGACACTAGTCCGGACAAGATATGTGAGTATATTTTTAGTATTCAAGTTATTTTGTTGGTAAATGAATTTTAAAAGGCAACATACCCACTGGGAAAAATAATATTTCTACAATGTTACTGAACGTTACATTTGTTAGATGTAATGTTACAAAACTCCTTGTGGCAATGTTGCAGGAACATTGCAACAAAGCCTTATGTCCGGCTCAGGAACATTACATTTACAAATAAAATGTTGCTTAAATATATTAATTGCAATGTTACTAAATGTTATTTTTGTTAATGTAAGGTTCCTGCAACATTGCATTTGTTAGGTGTAATGTTACAAAAATCCTTGTGGCAATGTTGCAGGAACATTGCAACAAAGCCTTATGGTTCAGGAACATTACATTTACAAATAAAATGCTTAAATGTATTAATTGCAATGTTACTAAATGTTATTTTTGTTAATAAAAGGTTCCTGCAACATTACAGGAAGATTGCAATTAAATTAATATGAATTATTATAATAATAATTAATTATAATTATTTATCCGTAAGCTATAGGACTATTTTATACAGGGCCGAGCCGTGCCGGGGGTGCAAGGGGTGCATGGCACCCGGGCGGCACTAACACAGGGCGGCAAAATATCATCAAAAAATTGTATCATTCTATCAAGAATAAAAAAGTCACCTTGCAATATGCAAAAAACTTTCTAAAAATCACTTGCGTTAAATATCATCAAAAAATTGTATCATATTATCAAGAATAAAAAAGTCACCTTGCAATATGCAAAAAACTTTCTAAAAATCACTTGCGTTATATTGATGTTGGCGTTTCAAGGAATCATACACATAAAAACAATGCCAAAATTGTGCTGTCGGGCGGCAATGATAAAAAAAGACATAACCGAACGCGTGATAGCCACAAAAAATGATGATGACAATTTTCTTAAAGCCCGGTTTATAGATTGCCGCCCACCCGCTTTGCTTTCCCTCCGTCCGCTTCGAGTTCGTCAAGTTTCATGTTTTCCGGAAGTGGGCTTACGGGAAACCTATCAAATCGCGCGCTGTGTACCACGTGATATTGTTTACAAGCTAAACTGTTAAGTTAAAGCATAATTTCTTCCGATTTGACGGCTGCGTATTTCAGCAATTTTTAGTTTTTCAATTAACGTAAGGCAAATAGGATAATAATTAATAGGATGCAAACATAGTAGTTTCTTTTGCCTTTTAATGCGTTTAAGTTAAAAACTAGTTAATGATTTAAAAGGCATCTTTCCGAATTTATTTGTAGCTTTAAGAATATTTTTGACTATGCCAGTTACTGTTGCCCATGGAGAGCGGTCATTTTCGAAATTAAAACTAATTAAGACCTATTTAAGATCCAATATGAGTCAATTCAGGCTTTCAAATTTAGCAATTATAAGTATTGAAGAAGATATTTCTAACAACTTGGATGTAGGCGACTTGATTAGAGAATTTGCTATTAAAAAGCGAGAAAAGTAGATTTTAGTTTTTTAGTTTAGTTTAATTATTTTTGTTTTTTTTTCCTGAATGTATTTTTATTTTATTCTTTTATGTATTTGTTAATAAATACTTTGTTATTTTACTATAAAATTTGTTATATGTTTATTGAGAATGATAAATTATGAACTCCTTCCCTACCGACAACCTAATTTTTTACATTAATGGGGGCGGCAAATTTAATTCTTGCACCCGGGCGGCAGATACCCTAGACTCGGCCCTGATTATATATATATATATATATATATATATATATATATATATATGGGCAGATCCATTACTTTTCGACAAAAGTGTGCGGGGGTAAGTCACCGATTTGGCTGCCGATTTTTTTCTCGAAAGTAGGTCATATAAGGAGACGATCCTGAAAATTTGAGCTCGATATAGGTAATTCCGGCTGCAAGAAAATTTTTTGAAATATAAAAAAAGTCGATTTTTTAGTCATTTTCAAAAATTCGTATCTCAGCTCCTATTTAACTTAGAGATTTGATCAAGACGGCATTTTTCTCTTTTATCCCTCTATTTTCAAGAAAAAAATAGGTTTTAAGTTTAAACTTAAATCCGGCTAAGCTGTAAGCCTCCAAATAAAACACTGCTTAAGATAAATTTTGCCAATTTTTAAAGTGCTCTCAAATCTACAGTTTTTGAAGCAGTGGAATAAATGACAGATGATATTTTTCGTTAAGGTATACTCTGTTGGAATTTACCCATTTTTTACTTGATTGCTTCGATTTCTCTAATGTATGGCCACTCAAAGACAATTGATTTTTGAAAAATCAATGTTTTCAGATACCTACAACTTTTTTCTATCGATCCGAAATCCTTTGAAAATTTCAGGGATTATACTTTATTCTATTCCCAAACAAACCATCAAAACTTTTCCTTGGGTATTGAAGTGGTTTCCGAGCTATGAATTTTTAAAAATGTCAAATTTTCAATATAATATGACATTTTTGGTAGTTTTATTATCAGTTAAATGAATTATTAGTAATACTTTAGTCAATAATCCATTGGACCTTGTTCATTTTTCTCGAAAGTAGGTCATTTAAGGAGACGATCCTGAAAATTTGAGCTCGATATGGGTAATTCCGGTTGCAAGAGAATTTTTTGAAATATAAAAAAAGTCGATTTTTTAGTCATTTTTAAAAATTCGTATCTCAGCTCCTATTTAACTTAGAGATTTGATCAAGACGGCATTTTTCTATGTTATCCCTCTATTTTCAAGAAAAAAATAGGTTTTAAGTTTAAACTCAAATCCGGCTAAGCTGTAAGCCTCCAAATAAAACACTGCTTAAGATAAATTTTGCCAATTTTTAAAGTGCTCTCAAATCTACAGTTTTTGAAGCAGTGGGATGAATGACAGATGATATTTTTCGTTAAGGTATACTCTGTTGTAATTTACCCATAAAAGCCATACTTATTTTTATACTGACTCGGAGCTCCATCAGAGAAATCAGGAACATTTTGCATATACAGTTCACGCTTTTTAAAACAAATTAGTGCAAGTTCTGAAAAAAGATTTCCCATGGATTAAAAACATTATCTATTTCTCTGATGGAGCTCCGAGTCAGTATAAAAATAAGTATGGCTTTTATGGGTAAATTACAACAGAGTATACCTTAACGAAAAATATCATCTGTCATTCATCCCACTGCTTCAAAAACTGTAGATTTGAGAGCACTTTAAAAATTGGCAAAATTTATCTTAACCCTTAAGCAGGCACGCGGGGTGTACAAAACACCCCAGCTTCCTAAATATACCTACCGGTCTCACTTCGTTTCGAATAAATGGCGCTTACTTTCAGTACCTTCTTGTCAAAGTATTGTCAGTCATATTATATTGCCGATTTCGAAGTTAATGTAATAGGTTGTCTGATATTTTGTTTCAAACAGGCTCTGGGTGCTGTGGACACCCCGTGCGCCTTTCCACGTACAATTATTTTGCATTAATTTGTTAAGCTGATTTCTTCAACTTTTGTTATTACTTCACATTAAATAAGGTTATACCCTGTAAAAAAGTAATTGGAACGCACGACAAAATATTTATTTTTATCTTGAAAGCATTGCGTTATGTTTTGCTTGTTTCCGTTCGTTCTAATATTTTATGTAAACTACAAATAAAAATTTGCCAAAATTTCTCTGCCCAATAATTTTCAAATTATCAGTTGCCGGTAAAGAAGGGCAGATGTGTAATTTGTCCAAGCTTTTATTCCATAGTAAATTCTAGTATCGAAATTGAGTGACTTTGAGCAGGCTGGGTTTCGCCTCCCTATTGACTTTTCTTTACCAAATCATAATTACTTGTAAAAGTAAACCTTATTTTATGTACTTAGTGTTTTTTTTTGTTTTTATTATTGTTATGACTTTTAAAATTCGTGTTTTTTAAATAAATGCTTTATTTTATTAAAATTGTCGTCTTTTGACATTTTCTTTTTTTTTTGTCATCTTTTATCAAATTTGAACGCAACGAAATATGTTCTCATTGTCTCTAAGCTCATCTTAACTTGATAATTTTGAAAAAAAAACAAAAAAAATGTAAATAACACTCAGGGACGCTTTGCCATCAGGGGTGTCTCTGACACCCCGCGCGACCTACTACGTTGCATAAAGAGGTGCGCCTGCATAAGGGTTAAGGAGTGTTTTATTTGGAGGCTTACAGCTTAGCCGGATTTGAGTTTAAACTTAAAACCTATTTTTTTCTTGAAAATAGAGGGATAACATAGAAAAATGCCGTCTTGATCAAATCTCTAAGTTAAATAGGAGCTGAGATACGAATTTTTAAAAATGACTAAAAAATCGACTTTTTTATATTTCAAAAAATTCTCTTGCAACCGGAATTACCCATATCGAGCTCAAATTTTCAGGATCGTCTCCTTAAATGACCTACTTTCGAGAAAAATGAACAAGGTCCAATGGATTATTGACTAAAGTATTACTAATAATTCATTTAACTGATAATAAAACTACCAAAAATGTCATATTATATTGAAAATATGACATTTTTAAAAATTCATAGCTCGGAAACCACTTCAATACCCAAGGAAAAGTTTTGATGGGTTGTTTGGGGATAGAATAAAGTATAATCCCTGAAATTATCAAAGGGTTTCGGATCGATAGAAAAAAGTTGTAGGTATCTGAAAACAGCGATTTTTCAAAAATCAATTGTCTTTGAGTGGCCATACATTAGAGAAATCGAAGCAATCAAGTAAAAAATGGGTAAATTCCAACAGAGTATACCTTAACGAAAAATATCATCTGTCATTTATTCCACTGCTTCAAAAACTGTAGATTTGAGAGCACTTTAAAAATTGGCAAAATTTATCTTAAGCAGTGTTTTATTTGGAGGCTTACAGCTTAGCCGGATTTGAGTTTAAACTTAAAACATATTTTTTTCTTGAAAATAGAGGGATAACAGAGAAAAATGCCGTCTTGATCATATCTCTAAGTTAAATAAGAGCTGAGATACGAATTTTTGAAAATGACTAAAAAATCGACTTTTTTATATTTCAAAAAATTCTCTTGCAGCCGGAATTACCTATATCGAGCTCAAATTTTCAGGATCGTCTTCTTATATGACCTACTTTCGAGAAAAAAATCGGCAGCCAAATCGGTGATTTACCCCCGCACACTTTTGTCGAAAAGTAATGGATCTGCCCATATATATATGAGTCATTCCACGTCAAACCGGACAAAAACAGGTGAAAAATGACCTTGAGTTCTCTGATTTTAATATAAATTTTTTTACAGGTTCTTTGGAACAAATGAATAGATAAAATATTTTTTTTTATTTTTATCACCCCTAGTTTAGAAGTTACAAGGGGTTGAAATTTCGCAAAAAAGCCCAAAAATCGAAAACACGGCCTCCTTCAACTGCCTATATCTCCGGTTCTATTCAACCTACAGGCTTCATCAAAAATGCATTTTGTAGCTCTTGGAAGACACTTTCATGACATATATATTTAATTCCAAGATAATTGACTATTGCATTTGTTATAAACAATTATATTACTCAAACGTGATTTTCGAGACCATTGTCACTCTTTTAAATTTTGAAAAAAATATCATCGTATTCCTTGATCGATTCTCTATAAAAACCCAAAATTATAGCTTGGAGGATTGATAAGAACTGGGTCAAAACAGCGACACGGCCTGTGACGCGGCGCGCGGCGTAACCTTACGCCCTTGGGCAAATTGAGAGTATGGGACGCCTAATGTATATATACATATACAATGTATATTATACATATATGTAAAAATCTAGAAATAACCAATCACCTTCTTTTGAGTTAAGGAACATAGGGTAATAATATGTGCTTAGTTTAAATCATAAATATAAACAAAGAGAGAAGGTAAAATAACGAAATAAGGTAAACAAAAAATTTAATGAATGCACCTGTGAAAAAATTTAAATGTAAGGTAAGGTAAATTAACATAAGGTACACAAAAAGTTTAATGACCAATAAAAAAAATAAAACTTTTCTTAGCTTTATTGCTTGGGAAAATTTTAAACCTATATCATTACCTACTTCGACATACGGAGTATATCTTTTAAACTTCGAGTTATAGAGTATAGATATATCTATACTTTATAACATAGAGTTTGTTTTTTTTATTCGGAATTTGACAACGTCAAAAATTTGAGAGATTAGTTGGCAATTATTTCTGTTATATTGGCAGCAAAACCAAATTATTATTTGTGGTTAAGAATAAAAAAGGTTGGACTGTACTTGTTTATTAAATTTAAAAGTAAAATCAAGTAAATCATATGACTAAAACTATTATGTATACATGTATAAAATTATTAACTATTGAATAGAACTGCTGTAGTTCTAGAAAAGAAGGTTTTGTCGAGGGATTGTAGAAGGTGTGAATAATACGGTGGTTTTGGTGCTAAGACAATTGAGGAGCGTTTATTCAAAAAGGGACATGTCCATTTTAGCGATTTTCAGAAATAAGTCAAAAGCAAAAGAATTCTGTTATTTTTGACTTGTTTCTGCAAATCGCTAAAATGGACATGTCCCTTTTTGAATAAACGCTCCTCAATTGTTTATTAAAATCACTCCAATAATATAATAATATATAAACATTTACTTAGAAACAAGGGCCTCGACAGAGCTTTCTGCGTTTGAGTATCTCTTGGCTGACACTTTCTTCTTCGTTATTGGCATAATGCAATGAAATGTTAGTGTGCTTCTCCCAATCCAACCAAAGATGCGTTCAATGTGTCGATATCCACGAAGTCCTCGTTGGTCCGGCCCCCGTATTGCACTTGTGCTGGGTTGTGGATCCTCACTTGAAAGCGTAGAACTTTCCTCACTTGTAAGCGTAGAACTTTTACTGGCTTCACTTAGATTGGGCATTTTGACCAGTTTCAGTCGGCATGTGTCACAAATTTTCGATTCCGCTGATGGAGGTTGATTTTCCGGTCTCAATTTTTTTAGCAGCGACGGATTTACATTTCTCAATTTGCGTTCACATTTTCTATGGTACCGGTGTTTCTCTAACTTAAACGGGTTGAAACACTGGTGATGTAGATTACTCATCATAATGAAGCAAAACACTATAAAAACTTGCAATACAAAACTTTGAAACCAAACACCAGATGTTAGTCGAACACACTTTGGAACGATACTGACCTGAATTGTGTATCTACAGCACCTAATATACCATGGAGAAGTTACCTGAATATATCACAAAAATAGATAACGTACAAATTCTTCCGAATATAATCCTATAATCCTTTTTTCCTTAAAAAACCAAGCCAATGTTTTCTACCTGTCCCGCACCAAAAAGATGATAATCCTATAATCCCTCTTCTGAAAATTGAAGATATCTTCGACCTAATTTCGAAAACCTATTTCAAACGAATTTTGTACTATAGTAATCAATCGTGAAGTTTATTCGAGCATGTACAATCGTCATTTAATCATGTAAGAATGTGTATTAAATTGCTTGCCTATCATAACCTAAGGTTGAATCACCCCGAAGCGCGCCAAACAGTGCGCGTCGCGGACGCCACCGGCGTATCCTGTGAATCAATCGCTGTTTTGACCCAGTTTTTATCAATCCTCCAGTCTATAATTTTTGGTTTTTATAGAGAATCGATCAAGGAATACGATGATATTTTTTTCAAAATTTAAAAAAGTGACAATTGTCTCGAAAATCACGTTTGAATAATATAATTGTTTATAACAAATGCAATAGTCGACTATCTTGGAATGAAATATATATGTCATGAAAGTGTCTTCCAAGAGCTACAAAATGCATTTTTGATTAAGTCTGTAGGTTAAATAGAACCGGAGATATAGGCAGTTGAAGGAGGCCGTGTTTTCGATTTTTGGGCTTTTTCGCGAAATTTCAACCCCTTGTAACTTCTAAACTAGGGGTGATAAAAATAAAAAAAAAATGTTCTATCTATTCATTTGTTCCAAAGAACCTGTAGAAAAAATTATTTTAAAATCAGAGAACTAGTGGTCAGAAAGCTGTCCGATTTGACGTGGAATGACTCATATATAACAATAGGGTTTTCTACTTTACGCCAGTAGTAGGCAACCAATATTGCAGAGACTGAAATGCCTTCCCATCTCGCCACTGAGCCGAGCTCGAAGCGCGTCTCCCGAATGGTATGGTCCAATGACTAATGCACCATACCCACCAACACTGACAGACATACTGTTTCGACCTGTTTGGTCTCATCAGTGTCAGGCAGTCGGTGACGGGAGACAAGCATAAAGCTCGGCACTGTTCACTCATAAAGATATAAATGACCAAGACAGCGGCGAGATGCATCGGCAAGTCAGTCTGCAAACAACATTGCAAAAATTATCTTAATGCAATATTTCGGATGAAACATTGCCCAAAACTTATCAATGTAATATTATAATTGCAATGTTTCAAAAATCTTGCAAATTAAATGTTTATATTGTTTATATAAAGCAACATTGCAAAAATCATCTTAATGTAATATTTCGGATGAAACATTGCCCAAAACTTATCAATATAATATTATAATTGCAATGTTCAAAAAATCTTGCAAATTAAATGTTTATATTGTTTATATAAAGTAACATTGCAAAAATCATCTTAATATAATATTTCGGATGAAACATTGCCCAAAACTTATCAATGTAATATTATAATTGCAATGTTTCAAAAATATTCCCAAACATTCCAAAATAAATGTTTCTATTGTATATTTAAAGTAAAGTTGCAAACATTTTTCATTTGAAACTTGTGTTAATATTTCAATTGAAACATTGAAAAAAAGTTATGTCTGCAATATTATAATTGTAATGTATAAAAACTTTTATGCAACATTTTATACTAAATGGTACAAATATAACATTGTAAAAACTTTCCATGTGAATCTTTAAATAATGTTTCAAATTTAAGGTTGTTGGAAATTATTCTATGCAATATTTCAAATGAAACATTTCATTTATGTTAATGCAAGTAGCACAGGAAATATTTTATTTGTAAAGTCGGCGAACAATGCAGCAATATTTTGTAAGGTTTCTTTCAGTGGGTATATTTTTTAGCTCATTAAATATAAAATTAAATAGATGGTTGTTCTTATCTCGGTAGGACCCTTGAGAATACTCCAATTCCTACCTCCACGATTCTTTTTCCAAACCCATTATCTCATATATGAGACCCTAGGGAGAAAACTTCCTTTACGTAAAATGGCATCATGCTTACGCCGAAGCGATTTAAATAATTGATTGCATTTTTTTCCAGTCTGCTTCATATCAAGCCCCATTTTTCACGACGTGGTTCGTGACAAACTGGACCATGCTGTTTTTTCCTTTGTATTTGTTGAGTCGAATAACCTCGAGGAATTGCCAATCGGCCTCGGAAATATTTTCCGAGAGCATAAGGGATTTTAGAGATAAAGGATTCACAATGGGTAAGAAATTTAAATCGCATGTTATAGCTATCTCTCTCGCACCGTGTGACGTCATGTGCGAACCAAAAAATAAGCTAGTTTAAAAGTAGTTAAAAATCAGGGTGGGGTGGAACGAATTTTTGTTGGGTGGTTTATATTGTGCGGATCCCTTGTGGAAATTTTTCTTTGAGAAAGTCTTAGTCTAAGTCTGAATAATACTTATTAAGTCGGAAAAAGTCTGAATAAGTCTTATTAAGTCAGACTAATAGCAAGATTTGGGAGTCTTCTGGAAGAGTTAATAAGACTTTTTAAGACTTAATATGACTTTTAGTAGAGAAATGGTAGGTACCTATGGCGATAAAAATAAATATCCGAAATAATTCATAGAGGTTGAATTTGGTTATCGTAAAATAAAACACATAGAAAAGTATTTATTAACATTTTTGCTGTTGTTATAAGCCAAGTTTATTGCATAATTACCTATATAATAAAATAGGTAAGATGTAATAATTATAACAATTATAATTTTATACATACGATGCGCTTGACATGCCTTCATTGTTTCCACCATAGAAAAAGGAGTTGCCACTGTACTTTTTTTTTTAGTTTCTTTTGATACACGCGTACGCAAATATTTACCTATCTAAACATTGTTACAAACAAATCTTCTAGGCGTAATATCGAGAGACCACCTCAGCTAGCTGACCAATTAGAGCACGGCTGACCTGTCAGTGGGACACAGTGTTGCCGTTTGTAAGTATTTTACTCGAAAATCGGGTATTTTCGTAATATTTTCAGGTGAAATCGGGTGATTTGCGAATTTCTATCAAAATAATACCAAAAAAAAAAAATTCAGTAAATAATATTGTATATTTACTAAATATGCAGAATTATTTTATTCTATCGTGTTACATTTTTATTATTATTTTAGTATTTTGTAATTTATGGTCAGGAACTTTTATGGCAACACTGTACGTAAACACGAAGATCAACCATATTTGTCTTATGAGTCTATCGAAAATATCATGTCTATAGACATAATATTAACTCCTTTCTCTATGGTGGAAACAATGAAAGCATGTCAAGCGCATCGTATGTATAAAATTAAAATTGTTATAATTATTACATCTTACCTATGTTATTATATAGGTAATTATGCAATAAACTTGGCTAATAACACCAAAAATGTTAATAAATACTTTTCTATGTGTTTTATTTTACGATAACCAAATATGAATTATTTCGGATATTTATTTTTATCGCCATAGGTACCTACCATTTCTCTACTAAAAGTCCTATTAAGTCTTAAAAAGTCTTATTAACTCTTCCAGAAGACCAAATCTTGCTATTAGTCTGACTTATTCAGACTTTTTCCGACTTAATAAGTCTTATTCTGACTTTTTTCGACTTAATAAGTATTACTCAGACTTTTTCTGAGAAAGTAAGACTTTCTCAGAAAAAAATTTGCACAATGGATTGCATATGGTTCAAATCCGACAGCAGGTTAAGAATTGGGATTGTGATTGGAATCCCAATTAACAAACTTAATACATACATAATATACAAAGTAACTAAAAAAGTATCCTATTAATTATCTTAAAAAGTAACTTAAGATAAGTACTTAAGTTCCTTTTTTTAAAGAGTAACTAGATACCCAAAATAACTTCAAATACTTTTTCAAAAAGTAACTTATCTTGTAACTAGATACTTTTTTATAGTATCTTTGACAGCTCTGCGTTTGCCTATGCAAAACTGTTTGTAACATTTGAATCTGGTTCGCACGTGACGTCACAACCAGCATACCGGTTTTTGTGTTTCGTGGTCTAAACCATAACACATACAAACCGTTCTGGACAGAGTATAAATAAAATATGGGCAAATTTTCGTTAAATGTACATTTTGTATATATATTTTGTCCAGGCAGGTCAATTTGATCGATTTTTTTTCCTTTGTGATAGAACAGTGTAATATACTGCAAAAAAATTCTATAAGTTTATAAATAACAAAAATAAAGTTTAAAGAAATAAAACTTATAGGGTTAATCTGAAATAGGGAAGGAACACAAGGAAGAAATTAAACATTGTCCTCCTCCTAACGCATCTTCCTGAACGTTTTATGACACATTGCTTTTGACTTTTTCAAACGTTATTTTTCAGAAATACTGTTAAATGTAAATATCTTTCGGCATTTGTTTGGAATTTCTACTATGCTATAATACAAAATGAAAATAAAAAAGTTAACTTCTAAAACAAGAGTTTTATGTAGCCTTATATAAAAGACACCAAAAGTGTAAGCAAAAAAATCTTACCTTTAAAATATTTATAAAAAAATTCACATACTTTACACGTGCTCACTTGTTGTTGCCGAACTATCAAACATGTATGCCCTCTAGAAATAACACGATAGTATCTCTATCTCGTGTCTCTATTTCGAAGCAGTCGGCATAGAAGACGACGTTAGGAAAAAGACAAGATTTTTGAATGTCAACTTTAATATTTTTTTCTGTTTAAACTACTTTGTAGAAAACTATTTTATTTTTATATACGAATAAAAGAACTTTCCATTGTTCAAAAATAATTTATTTTTTCAGAAGAAACCTGCAAAGAAGAATATAATAATTTAAATTAAAAAATCGCCTCTGGGGACAGTTAGGTTACAGGACATTTCACCTAGTTTTTCTGTCATATATAGAAACATAAAGTAATTACAAAAAAAAATACGATGGGTCCTAACAGGAAGGGGGTATTTAAATATAATAAATACAAAACTTATCAACAAAGGTCAAAAATAAAAATAAAAATAGCTGGGGACAGCAAATGTACATTTAACGAAAATTTGCCCATATACACCATACTTTTATTGCTGTTGGATAATTTTTAGGTCGGTTCATGGTCCGTTGTAGTTTGTTTTGTCTGCTATGGGTGGGCACGAACTACATGTACATTATGTCATTAAGAATCTTGCTGGCCACTGACGTCATGGCCCTCTTCGCAACGAACGTTTCCTTCGTTTATCTACTCTCGTGGGTCATTTTACATGAGCAGTTCGTTGGCATTCGTGTAAGTATTCAAAAATTGTAATAGTACATTATGTAACAAGTTTGGAATACAGCATATTCCGCTCGAGGAAAAATTTGGTTTTACGAGAGTGGAATTACGAGAGTGGAATATGCTATTCCAAACGTGTTTCAGACATTATTTTCTCTACGACTACGTAAGAATAGTAACGCTTACATAATTTTAAACAGAGAAAAGAAACCAAGCAGTTTTTGACATTTAAGTTTTTTGTATTGTCAAACCATTTTGTGCCGTCACAATTTTATAATGTAAATTATAATAAATTTAAACAAATGGTATGCCTAAATCTTTATTATAATTAAAAATAGTTATTTACACTAACTAATAAAAAAAATAACATTGTAACAAATACAAAACTAATTTTACAAGTAATCTATGTCAACATCTATTCTTTTTCTACATTTTAAAGGTCTTTTTTTAAACTATTTGAATCTGTCAAACTTCAAAGCCGGTATAGTAGGTAACTGGTTTATAATTTTAATATCAAAGTTATTATAATTTTGATTTGTATATTTGAAAAACAATAAATATAACTAATTTTTTGTGCCTAAACCTTAATACAACTGCTATTATTTTTTAATTAATAAATAATACAGTAATATTTAAATATTTTTAAATTTTTTACGTTTAGTAAACAGCCAGGAGATGTCGTTACTTGTGACCATTCTTAAACAAGAGTAGGAATATTCTCGCACAGTATTGCAGAAAAACATCCTTTCTATGATCAAAAATTACACTAGAATGTTACTATTCTTAAGTAGTAGTAGAGAAAATAAATTCTATGGTTCAAAAAATCATTTACAGATAATGGCTGTGATTATATGCGACACGGGCGTCGCTTTGCTTGCCTACATGGACGGCATCACTGGAAGCCCGACGCTGGGTGGCGTAGTTTTGGCAACATCGTCGGCAGCCGGATCTGCAGTCTACAAAGTACTCTTCAAAAAGGTAAAAAAAACAACGTTAAATAATATCGTTTAAAATATTATTCGAACAAATTACTAGACTAGATTTTTCACGGGGAAAATTAGACGATAAAATATGAGTCATTCCAAATAAAAACACCAAATGGGGATGCGCTGCTTGAATTTTTATTTTGATAAAAAAAATTGAGGATGATATTTTAGGTATCAAATATGAAAATCCGTTGCCGTTTTAACTTTTGGATTCTTTACTTTTAATCGGCACCCTTTAGAAATCTGAAATCGTGTCAATCTCTTATAGTGGTCCAGAACTTTTTTTCTGTGACAAATATTGAAATGATTTTAATTTTTTTTTACTGTTCAGTAAGTGTGTTTTCGATATAAATTATTAAAATCCAATTAGTTAATCTCATAAAAGAATGGTAAACAACTAAAGATTCATGATAATTTGACAATTTTTGTGATTTTTGTCTGGCTCCTGTGCCTATTCTACTAAATCTAGAAAGTTGCTTTTTTCAGGTATCAAGTACTTATACAATAGAAAACGTAACTATCATTTTCTTTATTAAAAAAATTATCGAAACTTGATAATTTTCAAAATTAGCCAATTTTGCCCTCAGAAATCATTATGTTGAGGAAAAAATAAAAATCTGAAACTTTCAGGAAATGTAGTCCCAACCTTCATCTTTTCAGTCTAGTTAGTCTTGTTTTGTTATTTTTATTCCTTTAAAAGATATATTAATTTTTTTAATGGCCGTTTAGTAGCGATATTGTTAGTTTTATTTATAATTTAAAATTTAGATGGCTTTGACTTAGTCAATTCATGTTTGGTAGAGAAATGTCAGAACTGTCAAAAATATTTCATAAATATATTATTTGTGCGTATTTCTTTGGTAAATTTTGTATATAACATAATATGTCATATTATGTTATATACAAAACTTTTTAAAATCACCAAAGGAATACCACAAATAATAATTTTGAAATATGTTTGACAGTTCTGATATATGTTATATTTTATGTTATGTATAATTGTATTATTGTATAATCATATATATATGATTATATATTATATAATATATAATCATATATATATGATTATACAATACATAAAATATAACATATATCAGAACTGTCAAACATATTTCATAATTATTATTTGTGGTATTCCTTTGGTGATTTTAAAAAGTTTTGTATATAACATAATATGACATATTATGTTATATACAAAATTTACCAAAGAAATACGCACAAATAATATATTTATGAAATATTTTTGACAGTTCTGACATTTCTCTACCAAACATGAATAATTTATATACATTATAATGAAGTATTTAATTGGCTAATTAGTGTTTAAAGAAGAAGAATGTAAAAAATATATTCAGATCCTTATGGTTTATATCATAAAGTATAATAAGTGAAATTAATAAAGAGTTAATTTAAACGTATAAAAAATGCGTTAAGCAGTTTTTTGTCTGTTTCTTTTACAATTTAAACCAAGTCCCTTTAGTAAGGCACTTAATAGTTAAAAGTTATATGTAAGTATGTATTTTAAATGTTAGTGTTGGACAAAATTTACACAATCTGTAAATACTTCTTTAACCCGTAACCGGTACTGTGGTGTCTGGGAGACACTCATCAACGAACAAAGCGCTGTCACACCCTCAACTTTTGTTTTAAAAATCTGTCGCTTCCAATACTTTTAAGTTGAGCAGTTATCAATATGCTCTCAGACTTTGAATAAGTTGGATTGTCAAACGGACAAATTATTACGAGTCAAAGTGTTGAGGTGTCTAGTAGACCACTGAGTACCGTTTACGTAATTTTTATAAAACAATTAATTCCTTATGGATTCGCAACAAGGGCTTTCTAAAAGTGTCCAAAGTGATAACAAAGGCTTCAAGGAAACTGTAATGTAGTGGTTGTATGAAATCGACTGCGATATAAGTTATATAGATGACTGTAGTATACTACATAACCATTATAGTGATTATGTCGTTGAACATAATCACAGCAGCGAGTCAGGACTTGTCTGTGAAGAGTCTATAGAAAATAATTTTATAGGGTCAGATAGAGAAGAATTTGAAATTTTTTAAGAATTTGAAAAAAAAACAAAAAAGTTACTATGGAAAAAATAATTGTAAAAATCAGCTATAGTTTGAAGCAGTTATTTTTGCTGTTAAAAAAAGATATATTTGAATTTTTTTTGTTTATATTATTTTTTAAGGTATATTCCTCGAAATAAAGATCGTTTTATTTTGTTTGGTTTAATATTTTTTATAGTTTAATCACAAAGTTTGCACTACTGCACTTTTTGTACTTGTTTTGATTAAAACCTATTTGTTTAAATTTTTCTTTTATTTAGGTATTATTTTTGGTGATATTCTAACTTTATAAATAGTTCCTAGTATCCCCAAAGCCTCAGATAAAAAAATAATATAAATTATAATTTTAAAAGGCAAATGTCTCTCAGTAGAGATGTAAAAAAACGGTTTTTTTTCAGATGTGAAAAAAAACATGAAAAAAAACCTAGAAAAAAAACGGTTTTTTTTGTTTTTTTTCAAAATGAAATTTTGGGTCAAATGTAGAATATATTACATTTTTCATTATTGAAAATTTTGACCAAGACTAAAAAATCTGATTTCTTATTATTTGGTAGTTTCCACATTAAAAACCCATAGCAATGTAAAACTTCTACACTAATACAAAAAATTAAAGGATAAATTTTTTTTTGCGATTTTTCGGATAGCTGTATATTTGTTAAAAATGGTCTTATTGGAGCCGTAAAAAAGCAATTTGAAGCTTGAAGTTTATAGTTTTGAGATTTTTAGATGAAAAACGTGCAACGCTCAATTCTAACGAATACCGTAGTAGAAAAATCGATTTTTTTTATTTCTTTTTTGGTCCACGGAATGTTCTGACCACCAATGAAGAAATGTTCTACAAGAATTTGCTATTGTTTTTTGAAAAAAAAATTCCATACTCTACATAAATTTGAAAAATCATGAAAATAGTGCTTTTGGTAGCTTTTTGAAAAATCAAGCGCTGAATCAAAAATATATGTAGGTAGTTACTTTTTTTAGGACCAAATCAAAACAAGCGCGGCCCTTATTGGTCAAATCGGTGGTTGTGGCAAGTGCATAACGCGAGACTGTATTTACATTTAATAATTGTCATTTAGTGGCTAATTTTAGTCCATGGAAACATAAAAAATTAGGCAAATGGGACTAATCTTGAAAAAAAACCTAAAATGTGAAAAAAAACCATTTGAAAAAAAACAATGAAAAAAAACCTGAAAAAAAACAAAAAAAACGGACCGTTTTTTTTCAAGTCGCATCTCTATCTCTCAGACCCCTCAGTACCGTTTATGACCTGAAAGTCGTACCGTACCGGTTACGGGTTAAATTTTAGTTTTTAGGTAACTGGGTAAAAACATGTTATAAAAAAAGGGTTTATTTAGAATATTTTTTGGTTTTTGCTTATTTTTAACAATTTAAAACTTCTCAGAACTTGAATATTTTTTATGAGAAAGAGGTACAAAATTATGATATGTTCTTGCATTTTTAATTGCAATTAAATTCATGAATCTCGAACACTCCGTCATTTATTACACTTGCAAACTTTTGAAATCACAATTTAAATACGCACAAATAATATTTATGAAATATTTTTGACAGTTCTGACATTTCTCTACCAAACATGAATTGACAAAGTCAAAGCCATCTAAATTTTAAATTATAAATAAAACTAACAATATCGCTTCTTAACTGCATTAAAAAAATTAATATATCTTTTACATGGATAAAAATAACAAAACAAGACTAACTAGACTGAAAAGATGAAGGTGGGGACTTCATTTCCTGAAAGTTTCAGATTTTTATTTTTTCCTCAACATAATGATTTCTGAGGGCGAAATTGGCTAATTTTGAAAATTATCAAGTTTCAATAATTTTTTTAATTAAGAAAATGATATTCCAGAAACTTAAAATAATAGTTACGTTTTCTATTGTATAAGTACTTGATACCTGAAAAAAGCAACTTTCTAGATTTAGCAGAATAGGCACAGGAGCCAGACAAAAATCACAAAAATTGGCAAAATATTACAAATCTTTAGTGGTTTATCATTTTTTTATGAGATGAACTAATTAGATAATAATAATTAATGTTGAAAACATACTTACTATAGTAAGTAAAATAAAATTACAATCATTTCCATAATTGCCACAGAAAAAAAGTTTTAGCCTCTTATAAGAGAGTAAGAAAATGACACGATTTCAGGTTTCTAAAGGGTGCCGATTAAAAATAAAGCAACTAAAAATTAAAACGGCAACGGTTTTTTATATATGAATATCATATAATATGATACCTAAAAGATCATTCTCAAATTTTTTCATTAAAATAAAAAATCATGCAGCGCACTTTTAAATTCATTTTTGGTGTTTTCATTTGGATTGACTCATATTAAAATTTTTCTGTAAAATCTTAATAATTTTTTCTACTTAAAAACCCTAAAATGCGATTGATCGAAACACAAGGAGGTAAATAATCGCGATCCCGTTAACTCAGTCTTATCGGTCAATTTGTTATGTGTTTCTAAGGTGATTGGTGACGCTACCTACGGCCAGGTGGCGCTGTTTTTTTCGCTGGTCGGAATGCTGAACGCGGCCCTGCTGTGGCCCCTCAGCCTGGGTCTGATCCTTACGGGCGTCGAGACGCTCTCTTGGGACCGTCTGCCCTGGCTTGCGCTTCTAGTCGCCAGTCTACTATCTCTAGGTCAGTAAATCACGGCCTGTATTTTTTTCACGTTCTTTGAACTTAAAACTGTCAAAGAACCCTGCCGAAAATGAAATGTGCAAAAAGTGTGCAAAATTATTTGAGAACAATGTGCCAACAATGCGCAATCTTTAAAAAAAATGATGTGCGGAGGGTGGGAAATGGAACATGAAACAATGTGCAAAACCAAAAATTTGAAAGTGTGAATAATCACTGGATAATGTTCTAAAGGGAACTAACTCCTTTTGATTTTTCACATTGTTTGCACACTGTTTCTTGCCACCTGTGTGCCTATTACAAAAACAGATTATTTTTGGTGACCTATAAAGTCTTTTAAATTTACACATATAAATATCCTTATAATAATATTAATCAAATAAATATTTTTTTCAAAAAAATAAAAAAAAATACCCACAATGTAAGTCCTAAATAGGTACTGTATTTTATTAAGAAAAATACCTGCACTGTCAACTCCACGAAGGGGATTGCTTTGATCTTAGCAATAGGCCGAGAAGCGATACATAACTTATGTAACATAAGATGGAATCTACCTCACCTTTTAAATAAATGCTGTACCCCAACTCAAGCGAGGTATATCTAAAATGTGCTTAAACTGTTGAGTGATCGCTAAAACTGTACAAACAATGTGCTATAAAAAGGTGTAATATAAGCGTCATAAATGAGAAATATTAAAACGTGCTAACAGTGTGTATAAAATGTGACATGCGTAAGATAGACTGAAGCTTTGCAAAATGTCTTTAAACAATGTACTAACACTGTGCAAACAATGGGCTAAAATATAATGTAATATAAGCGTGACATATGACAAATAAAAAGCGTGATGTCAATGTACATAAAGAGTGAAAAAACTTAATTATTTCAAAAAGTGTGAAATTACCACAAAGTAGCGTGTATGCACATTGTTATAAAGACTTGCACTCCAAATACACACTTATTGCACACTTTTCATGTACGCTTTTTTTTCGCCAGGGGAATATAAAGCTAAGCCCAATACATATTTTAATAGGAACTTAAATGCTCTACAAAAAGGGTACCAATGTTTATTTCGTAAACCTATCAATTCAAAAGACATGGGTGATTCCACAAAAGTTGGACAACTTGATGTCATCAGTCAATAGAGCAGGTATTTTAATATTTTTTGTAAATATTTAAGTATAACAAAAGATACAGGTTTTTTTAACTTGTCCACCCAATTTTAATGTATTTTTTCTAAAGCACGTTTGTAGAAAAACATAATAAATATTCAAAACATCAGTACCTTGGCGTGTCACAACTCCTGAATCAAATATTTGAGTGGTTTTATTTTAAAATATATTCAATTTATCTTAAATTTTTCAATTTCACTACAAACTATAAAACATTAAATAATGTATTTTTCATATTTTATCATAGATTCAAATAATAGCAATTTTAAAAAAATTGATAATCTTTATACTCACTTTTACCCGTCAGTTCTGTGTCCAATGTTAAAATTCAAAATTCCTGCGAAATAAGTTTAAACGCCAAGTCCTCGATTTAACTCAAGTGTTGGTAAAAAATTACCTACAAAGCCCGCCCTTTGCACGACAGTCATCTTGAAAACAATGCAAGCGGCGAAGTTGTGGTGAATGCACGTACAGTTCCAGTCAAAATTTCAGTACTGTGATGATATATTTCATTGTAATATATATAATTAAGGCTATATGTGATTTGTTGATAAGTAGCATCCACTAATAAAAAATATCAGTAAAATACTTAATTCCGAATTATAATCTCAAATTTGTATCTCATTCATCAGTACCGTGTCGTCAGTTCCATGTTCCATGTTTCGGTTATATTTTTTTCGCAAACTTCAATTTAAATTCTGGTTGCGCAGAACTTGTTTATTTAATGTCATTATAAACTCATATAAATTTGGTGTGGGTCCCATATCTTATAATTGAGATATCGGTATACCCAAAATCCACCAGCCACCACTGATGTGTGGTATAATTTGATTTTAAGATATATAATGTATAATATGCTCAAAGTTGCAATAAATCTTATATTTTCCAATAAATTATGTACCCTCGTCACTTCCCTTGCATTCAAATTTAGAAAACACAGATATTTTAGAAAATGTTTGAAAAAGTGACTGGCCCGGTCTGGAACAGTATATTTATTATATTATCTATGTTCTCATAACAAAATACTGTTTAATTTTCTCCAAAAACTATATAAACAAAATGAGGTCAAAAGTTGCCCAACTTTTGTAGAATCACCCATATGTCTTAGGTCAAAGTTAAAAAAATTGCAAGGTAGTTAAAATTTTTATACGATTACTACATATTTTAGTTGGAAATTAACTGATCAACAAAAAAGTTTTCGTCTGTTTTTTTTTCGATAAATGTAAGAGTTTCAACATTAACCAACTTTATACTCTGTCCGATACATTGATCATCATCATTTAAATGGTTAATTTTAAGGAAAAATCGTAAGTTCAGTTCGTAAGGGCTCTTTTTGCAGAGCGGGAAGATTTATACAAAAATATGCATTGGAAATTGCTGTACCTATATATTCTTGATAATGAGTTCTAAGGTTCAGAAATAGTTTTTTGTTTTACAAGTGTTGAAAAGCGAGTGTTCATTAACACGAGCTTGAAGAAAGCTTTTCTTACAAGTGAAATACAATGTTTTTTCTACGACCCTTTTATTTTTATTTTTTATTATTTTCAAATACAAAACAAAATTATTAATTTATTTTCACACAGAAATGTCACTTTACATTCGAGTTTTGCCTTGCCAATTAAAAGATTAATTTTCTAAGCAACTTTGACATTACGAAATGTGACTTTTACATAGTGGTCGTAGAAAAATATGTTTTCATTTATTTTAAACTTTGACCTCCGTGGTTTTCGAAAAAAACTTTAAAGACCTTTGTTACAGAGCGGTAAATTTCCCACATAAATATGTATAGAATATTCCAGTATCACCTAATAAATTGTCATCCTTTAGGGGGATGATAGTACAAGCCAGAACAAGAAAGTTTTTCATTAAAAAAATATGAAATTTTTTGGCAAAACCGTGTTTTTTGTTTTATTGAAAGTACCTAAAGTGCAAAACAAAAAACAATTATCAACAAAGTAATCATCATTGCAATGATAACACAAATGTAAATTTTGAATGAATGTTTATTATTGCTCACTGACATAGATCAAGAACAACCAGTGGCGGCACAAAATTTTTACTTTAATTAAAAAAATTTATTTTATTAAAAACAAATGGCACTTACGCAAAAATGAGGAAAAACTTTTTTATTTTGGCGTGTACTATCCCCCTCATTAGTTATTAGTTTTTTTTTTATTAAAAATATTTTTTAGGCATTATTTTTTCTCTGAAAATTATTTTTAAATTATAAACATATGATTTAGATCCTGCAGGGTCTGGCCAACTAGAAAAAGCCGTCGCTTAAAATTTTTTATGTATATATATATATTTTATTTTTCAGTTGCCAATCTACTGGGAAACTTTAGTGTTGCCCTGACTTACGACTTATTTATAACTTTAGGGTTAATAACCGCCGTCCCTGTTTCTGCAGGTAAAAACTTGTCCGTATAATATACTGTATATTATACAGGGTGTCCCAAAAATTACGCACTTAATTTTTGTGGAGACCAATTACAAAATTATTGCCTCAGCGGCCTTATTTAAATTCTTTTTACGCACAGCGTTGCCAAGTTTTAAAGGCATTTAGTCAGAAATACAAGTTACACTAGTTTACAGCCATTTTGCCCAATATAACTCACTATGATTTTCTTGTGAAGTTTGGCTCACTAAACGCAAAAATCACAATTAAAATTTTTTTCATTGAAGCGTTTTCGAATTTTCAATTGTTTTTTTTCTGAGGTGTTTTGACGTTTAAGAGTATACTTCGAGTTCTAATCGATCGATTTGACCAAACAAGCACTTAAATCAAAGGTAATTGAGCCCTCTACAACTTTCTTTTGTATAGTTTTGGTATCGGCTTAGTAGTTTGATACTGACGATTTTATGAAGTTGAAAAAGTCCTTTTTTTTACAAAAATCGAGGTCGAAAATTTACATATCTTTCTGGGAAAGATAGAAATCGAAAATATAAGTCCAGTTTAATTTATTTTATGTATAGATTATACTTAAAGGAAAAAAATAAGCTGCTGTTGATAAAAATCCATGGATAAATGGCGAAGTTATTAATTTTTCAGTGGAAGAGCAAAATTCAGTTTTTCGAGAATTTTTAAGTTTTTTCTTCATTTTATAGAAATATATAAAATTTAATATTGAACATTGATTTTTATTTTAAACATTAAATATTGAAATTAAATTATATATTGAATATTAAACAATAAATATTGAACATTAAAGATATTGAAAGTTTTATTTTGTTTTAATAGGCATAAGTTAAAAAAAATATGTCTCCTTCTTTGTTTTATGTTGCTTTCGTATTCCGTTTCTCGTATGAGGGACCAAATGTAATCACCCATCATGGCTGCATCCCAGAAGCCGTGATACCGCCGTTCCATAGCCTTGCTGGTAAAAACGTTATCCGTGCTCATCAATTAGTCAGCCAGATTGTCCGGGTTATTTACGCACTCGAACTCTCTACTTCTTTTACTTATTATACACTTTTTATTAACTAAATAAAACCATGATAAAAATACTTTGTTTAAATATCAAAAAATTGCAGTAAAATGTCATTATGCCAACACGAGAAACAAAAGAATTCACGTTTGCGGAGTCATGTAAAATTTAAATTTTCGGTGAAAAAAGTTCGTAAAATATTCCAATCATGCACTTTACTTGGGTTTTCTTTAAAGAATAAACATATAACAAAATAAAATAAAAATCGTCAAAAAGCTGAATTTTGGTCTTCCACTAAAAAATTCATAACTTCGCCATTTTTCCATGTATTTTTATCAACATTAGCTTGTCTTTTTTGTAAAAATGTCAGCTTCACGAAAAAAAATTCAAACGGGAGTTATCTGTTTGATTTAAACCCTTCCCATCACGATATGTAAATTTTCGACCTCAATTTTTGACATAAAAATAGAAAAAAAGTTACTAAAATCGCTAGCGTCAAAATACTTAACCGTTATCAAAAGTATGTAAAAGAAAGTTTTAGAGGGCTCAAATACCTTCAATTTAAGAGTTTCTTTGACCAAATCGATCAATTAGATTTCAAGCTATACTCAAAAACGTCAAAACCTCCGAAAATTGAAGAAAAAAAACACTTGAAAATTCATATTTTAAAAACGCTTCCATAAAAAAAATAGGGTGTGATTTTCGTAAAAAATTATAATGGGATATGGTGGGCCGAATTTTTTTTCGATTTTGTAAACTATAGTGTTAGTTAGTGCGACATTTTCGGGATACCTTGTTTTGTATAATAAATAAAAAAGAACTTTAACTAGATAAATAAATAATTATTTTACATTTAAGTTTAATGATGATGGTAAATTTGTCAATGTTGCAAGTTAACTCGCAAATTTTAACAAATTTAAGAAATATTATTTCAGCTTTGGACGTAGTGCTATATGGTGCTCAATTTGAAGGTATGAAGTTGGCAGGAATGATTCTGATAGCTGTGGGATTTTTTTTGGTCATGTTTCCCTCAAACTGGCCTGATTACATCACCAGACTTCTAAGGTAAACAATTATATTCATTCTTTATTATTTATATTGGTAATATTAAATTAGTTTTTTCATTAATTAATTGATTAATGCAGGTATAATACACAATACACACTATAAAAAACAAAATTTAAACTTATCTTAATCGTACATTGGAGCATTGAATCATATTCTCTAAGATCGTCTTCACATCTCGGATATCTCATTGGCCAGCCAATCGAAACCCTCCACCAAGCCGCTGCCTTTCAACGCGCACGCGCCCTGCATGTGCCACCTGCGATTGCGCAGGTCTTTCAGCTGCAACTTGTCGGCCAGTTCCGACGTCGTCATGGCGACGGGGACGTCTTGCTTGTTCGCGATCACGAGCAAAACCGACTGCTGCAGCTCGTACTCGAACAGCATGTTGCGCAGCTCGGTTGCAGCTTCGTCTATCCGGTCCCGATCGCAGGAGTCGACTAAAGAGAAGACCCTCGGTAGAAAGAAACGTTCCTGTTGTAAATGACCGATTTATTCCTTATAGAAACCAATTGAAGTATTGGTTGGTATCAATAGGTCTGAATTGGACTTACTGGGTTTAATTGGGAGCGATATAAAACAGAAATTGGTTTTTACTGGTATTTTTAATGAAAAGTCCAATTAGGATTCTACTGTTTTTTAGTGGTTTCGATTGGTTAAAGCTACCAATAGGAAATTTCCAATTAAATTCAATTGGGCATTCCCAGTGTAAAGCCTGAATAATAGATTGCCTTCCTTCCTTCCTTCCTTCCTTCCTTCCTTCCTCCCGTAGAAGATGAACAATACGAAACCCAATAAACATTTTTGACGTAATTGTCACCATTAACATTTCCCGTGTAAGAATTTTTAATACTTAGTGATAATATTTTGCAATTATAATAATAATAAAAAATTTCAGGATAACAAAATCATATTTTGAAGTTATTTTAATATTTATAAGTACCAATAATTGTTAAGTTTAATTAAAATTAATAACGGGCAATGTTAATGTTGACAATTACGTCAAAAATATTTATTTAAATCGTAGTGCCATTTATAGATTCCCGTACCGTAACGACGGCATTCCTTCCTCCCGTTGAAATTTTTAAGTTTTATCTTTCACCGTAAAGGTCTTTGACATGACCAATCACAGTGCTTGTTATGGACATGCGCTGTAGGGTGACAGCGCGTAGGCACAAAATATTTAAAATACATGATTGTTTAGTATTATTTAAGATATGTGTTCAGTTTATTAAATAATTTGTGTCTCTAAATAGGATATTTAGATATTGTTTATGATCAATGTCTTTCATTTTTAGAAACGTTGCTTTGTAAAACCCCGTAGTTTCGCGGTCTTGGTAAAGTGGGCGAGTCTTCTAACGTCTTGTTCGATGATTTTTTTCATTATACTGCCCTACTATGGAGAAAGGCAGTAACTACAAAAAAATTCTAAATGCGTTTTCTTGTGCTATGATAAAGCTATGGACATTTTGTATCTTAATTCAACAAAGAAATGCAGTAAAGTATCTTTTAAGTTAAATAAATCAGTTAAATACCTACTGCTTTTTATAAAAATGTAGTTTATGCTAATTTCCCACAAATTTCTTGTTTAGAAGTTACTGCCTTTCTCCATAGTTGGGCAGTATGCAACAAGCTGCCTGGGCAATTAAAATTGTGATCACTGCACTAATATATAAATGTTTATCTTTCATATTTACACACAATGGGTAAAACTCAGAATATAAACAAAAACAAATGTCAACCATTTTAGGTGTCATCGCGCATGGTTACGGAATTTTACACGGAAATCTATAAATTGACGCATGGTTACGGAATTTTACACGGAAATCTATAAATTGACTTTTTACAAGACGCACAAATCGTACGGGCACGACTACGGGAGGAAGGAAGGAAGGCAATCTATAATTCAGGCTTAAGATTCTAGAAGGGAATCTGCTAATTGGTTATTCCCAATACTTTAAAATATGGAAAAGTCAAATTAGGATACTACTGTTTTTTAGTGGTTTCCGTTGGTTAAAGCTACCTATAGGTAATTTCCAATTGAATTCAATTGGGCATTCCCAGTGTGAGATTCTAAAAAGGAATCTGCTAATTGTTGTTCCCAATACTTTAAAATATCGCAAGAGGGCTCTCGTGTAGCTGCGCAAAACCAAAGTACGCAGTCCTTGTTCGAATGGTTGAGACGCCATCATAAAGAAACAAACAAGTCTTTGGACGCTATTTAATGTCGTTTTTTATTAGTCGGTTTCTTTAATAATCTATGGGTTTCTGTGCTTAGTGGTAGTTGTGTAATTATAGTGGTGTGTACTTATACCTTAAAAAAATGTTTATATGTGTACGGTTTAGGGACGATGGCGTGAGAATGGTGGTTACAGCGGACAAAATAAAAAAAATTGACATAAATAATATTTTTGTCTTTCTTGCAAAGGATGTTTGTAGGCATGGTCGAAATCATAGTTATTTATGTATTAAGGGCATAATAAGGTTTTTATGGTCCGAGGCGTAGGACCATAAAAACCAGTTATGCCAGCAATGCATACAAAACTTTATGCACGATTAATATATTATTATTTTTAATATATTATTGTTTTTAAAGACGTTTACGTCAAAGAATTTTTGTTATAATTGTCATATTATAATGTCAACTGACATCAGTCAGTTTTAAAGTTTAAAGATAAATTAAATTGAGGAAGCAGCTGAAAAGGCGAAAAATTGCGGCCTGCTGCCGGTAAAATCAAAATCTTTATACGAAAAAACTTACTTCGAATATATCAAATGGTGTAACATTGTTGTTTTTAATTTTTGACGTTTCATTATAGCCCGCTGGGCCATAATAACGCCCGCGGGCTATAAAAAGACGTTTACGTCAAGGAATTTTTGTTATAATTGTCATATTATAATGTCATCGTGCATAAAAATGATTATGACCGAGTAATTTTATTTATTTTTTATAAATTTTTTTGTGTAAGTAAGTTATATGTATCAATACATATCTCACTAACATAAAAAAATATTAAAGAAATTATGTTACTCAGTTATAATAATTTTTTGTCTCTTCTGTGAAAAATGAATTCTGGTTTTTACCCGGTTATTCTCCTGGGATCTTAATTATTTTTGAATGAAAAATCAACTGGTATTTTTAATACAAATTTAAAAAAATAAATTGGTTCAAATTGGTTTGAATGGGTTTGGCGCCATGAATAACCAATTCATTTCAGGTGCATTTCTATTGGATTTAGCTAATAGAGACAAGCATAGGCATGGATTGGTATATTCCAATTTACGCCGCTGACTTCATTGGAACTTACCAATATGAATGCAACTGGAATGAATTGGTGATTCATAGCGCCAAAACAAATTTCAAACCAATTACTTGATTCTATCGGTCATTTACAATAGGGGTATTGTACTTTGCGGTGGACTTACCAACAAAAATGATTGCCTGCGAATTTTGAAAGTAGTGCCTCCAAAGCCTTCTGAGTTTGTCTTGACCTCCCACGTCCCATACTGTGAAACAGATATTTTTGTATTCGACAGTTTCCACGTTAAAACCTATTGTTGGAATCGTGTGCACTATTTCGCCCAGTTTCATTTTGTAAAGGATTGTGGTTTTTCCAGCTCCGTCCAGTCCCACCATAAGTATACGAATCTGCTTCTTTCCGAACAGTTTTCCGAAAAAATTGGAAAATATTAAGCCCATTGCTCTTAACCAATTTGCCATTGACATCTGTCAAAATTGATTGACACTGTCAACCTCAGCAGACAAGATTTTAATGTCTCTGTATTGACATATAAAAATATGGATAACGCTTATCGAAAAGGAAAAAAGCGCCAAAAAGTTTTTCTGAGCTTGGTAAAATTATTTGTAAATTAACTCATTTTTAATAATGCTCAGAAGGTTTTTTTTAAAATTAAATTAAAAATTTCTTACGAACTAACTGCTAAGGATAACAATAACAAGGGTAGTCATGCGCAACGCGTCGCTTAGAGAAATTTCTTATTGATAAGCAGTTTTCCTTATTGATAACCAAAGATATATCTATAATTATAATTATCTTTGTTGATAACGACTGATAAGGAAAAAATCACAACACAACGTCCACATAACGTTGAACTTTGGTCTCTAAAATTTTAAAGTGGTTTACCTCAAAAGGATTGAGAGGGTTACCAAATCATTATTAATTTTTTGAGCAGCATTAAAAATTGGCCCAAAAAAAAAGAATATTTTTTTTCTCGTCTGTTGTGAAAATATGTTATTTTATCATGTTGTAAGAGCCCTGTCAAAATATCAACTCGATTAAAAAATGTTTAGGGGTCGCTCAAGATTTTTAAATATTTCCAAATTCGTCAAAAATTGAATTTTTGTTTTATTTTAATTTTTTTTCTCGTCCCGATATTATTTTCTAGGTTGAAAATAATAAAAATTATGTAAATTTTAAATCGATATTTTGATTTCTAAAGGTCGCTAAAAGTTCGTTAATATTTATATTCAGAGGTCGCTCGAAAACATTCGAAATACTCTACTTTAAAAGTTTAAAAAATCTTGAGCGACCTTTAGAAATCAAAATATCGATTTGAAATTTTCAGAATCTTTATTATTTTCAAATTAAAAAATAATATCGAAACGAGAAAAAAATTTGTTGACGATTTTCGAAATTTTTAAATATCTTGAGCGACCCCTAAAAAGTTTTTAATCGAGCTGATCTTTTGACAGGGCTTTTAAAACATGACAAACCAACATATTTTTACAAGAGACGAGAAAAAAAAATATTCTTTTTTTTTTGGGCCACCCTAATATATATATTATATATTATTATAAATATTATGTATGTCTAAAGATTATTATTATTTGGTCGTAATATTTTGCTGATAAATCCTGCTTAATAATTACCTAATTCAGAAATTAAAAAAGAAACATTTGTCTTGCAGAAGAGGAGTGCGTTATTTCCAGGGAAAGGTTTGTTGAACGAGGCTTAATAAATTAATTTTATAGAAAATAATTAAAGGGTCTGAATAAAAATTCCTCTAAAATTTGGTCTATTTTACTATATCTAGTAGGTACAAGGTGTCTCAAAAAAGCCAGTACAAAATGATACCACATATTCCTGAGTCCGAAATAATGCGATATAACTAAAATTTATTTCATACCACAATCCACACAACAAGGTCTATCTTGTTTCGCGCATACTAAAAATCACAAGGTTAGCACAGACTCTAATGGCCATTTTTATTTTGTTTACAATTATTGTGCTGTTAATACAGATTAAAATGTGAGTATGGTACATTTGTGGGTTATGTTAAATTAACCTTAAAATTGACATTTGACAGTTTTGTGACAGCCCTGATAGAATAAGGATTATTTAAAAAAAAAAAGAGAAGTGAAATGGTTCCCTTAGCACTTTAAGGCCTCTTTTAAGGCTTACAAGTGCTTCTGTAAAAAACAGAACGTTTAACCAAAAATTGTAAACAACATAAAAATGGCCGCCGTTAAAGTCTGTGTAATGGGTTGTCTAACTTCGTAATATTTAGTATGAGCAAATCGAGATAGACCTTGTTGTGTGGATTCTAAATTTAGCTATATGGCATTATTTAGCTAAGACCTCAGGATTATTTTAAGGGACACCTTGTAAATGTATAATAATAATATCACAGGTCTTAAACATGTTTTAACACAAATTTTTTGACATCAAATCCAAAACTGAAATAACATGACAACATATTTTTCCCCTTCCCTTCAAAATCAAACTTTTTCAATAATAATTATTTAAAAAGGATTTTGTAGTGGAAGATGACGTAAGGAGTTCTACGAAGAAACATTATTTCATAGTTTAGATAAAATAGAAGATCCTTTGATTAATTTTAAAATTTAATATTTTTGAACACTTAAAAAACTGTTTTTAATGAATTTAAAAACCAAAAATTAATACATTGGAGCATGGAGCCTTCACAGGGAGTACAAACATGCCTATCCACTAAATCGCACAAATTGCGTTTTCTTTTTTCACCACTGGCGGCGCTGATTTCCATTTTGCAGTTCGTACTCCTTGTGTAGGCTCATGAACAGATAAGAAGAAATACTCGATGATTCTATAGTGGATTTTGAAAATAAAAAAACACATTTGTTTCACCGCTTTTGCAAATTTGCAAGCAATAGAATGCAAATTTTATTTCTTTCTCCTGATACACAATTAAACACTTAAACACCTACACAATTTTCATTAAATATTTTTAGGGAATTGTGAACCACCATATTAGGGTATTAAAAATCATAATTTTTTAATTAAGCTATCCAACCACCATATTAGGGTATTAAAAATCATAATTTTTTAATTAAGCTATCCAAATTTAAATTATAAAAAAACTCGAAAATATTTTTGGGGGACAGCAATTATTAAATTAAAAAAATATGCAGGGTGTTTCTTACTTGGATGCTGATAGGGTTCGGGCGCTGTAAGTTTGATACCGCAACGTCATCAGCCATGCATTGCCCACCGCATGCGAATTTTTTGTTTAGGTTTTATTAGACTCATAATTTGTCGTTTTCGTTTCAGAAATATCATCCTGTTGAGTCACAGTGCGAGGTGAGAGTCTATGTAATTTATAATTTGTATATGTGCGCATGCGTACCTATATATTCCGTTTTTTTTCATTGTCGGCTTGCCCTTAAAACACGATACACTTACTACTACTACTACCTACATCAACTCCTATATATTTTTTTATCTAATGCCACAAAATGCAATGTTTTAATTTTTTCACAAAAAAATATACAGGGATTCTACTACTACTTACTAGTGACGGTTTCTAATAGACAATAGAGAAACTAATCCTAAAATGCCCACTCAAAGTTTTTTTATAATTACACAGTTTAAGTTATATTTTAAACCCACATTTATAAATATTATATTAAGGCACTGAAACCTGGTAATGCGTTTATTTTTTAAAATATCGCTGCTTTTTATCATTTTTAAAATCATCACGTCAAATATCGAGGAATAAATTGAAAAATTCGGCAAAACACTACTTATTTAGTCCAAATTAGTTGTACTTGTTAGAACTTTAGGCATATCTTCTTTTATTTATCAGACATCTTCAGCTATTTAGTTACTAATGGCCATTAAAGTGCTCCTTTTGAAACAAACATGTTTTTTCCGTTATCATAGTATAAAGTGCTCCTTTTGAAACAAACATGTTTTTTCCGTTATCATAGTATATTAGGTACAGTAACCAAATTGGTGTCAGGAATCTGTTTTACCTGCTTTCAAAATGACAGTGTTAACACTAATTAGTTTGCCAAATTTGTCAACCGTTTAAATGCCATATATGTGGAAGCGGTTTTTCACAGTAAAAGTGAAGAGGATTTTAATGCAGCGCCCCCTAAATTTTTAGTTTATGACCTAAAAAAAATATTAAAAAATTATAAAAAAAATATTCATATTGAACCGTGCCACAAAGACGATTTCAATTTAAATAACATGGGGATTCAGCAAGTTTTACATTTATTTTTTTCTTCTCCCGAGCAAGTTAATATACAGCAATAAGTGATAAAAATTATCATAGGAAATTGAACGCTGTACAAAAAAGCTCTCCTATGATTTTTCGATAAAATCACTGGTTTAAAAGTTATTTAAGGTTAAAATCGAACTTATAGTAATTTTTTCGATTTTTTTACTTTGACTGCATGTTTCCATGACACTAAGTGACCTTTTAAATACACATGATAAGTTGTGGCTTTATGGCGCTTTAGGCACGGGCTGAAGTTAGTTTTAAGTTAGTTAGACTGTCAAATTGTCAAATGTCATACAATCGTTAAAATAAATTGCCTTTCTTGTAAAATAATACTGATGAAAATTATTTTATTATCTCAATACAAAAATACAAAAGTATTAAATAGTTTCTCAACGCCAATATTTGAAAAGTTTATATGAACATTGTACTGACCTTTTAATTTCGCAGGCAGTAAACTATATATAGTTATAACCTAAATTCGGGCACGGACTCCACTATAAAGTGCTCATAAAACATTTTCTTTACTTTCACTGTGAAAAACTGTCAATTTTCAAGAAATATATTTCGATTTATAACCTTTATAATTGTGTTTATAAAATGTTAAAATTTGACATTTGACGGTGACACAGAGATTCCCCTATTGTTTCATAGATGGCGCTCTATACAAATTTTTGATTTAAATCATTTTAAGATAATAAGTATTTGTCGTAGAAAATAGTATATTATGTATCAAGTTTTGTAAACACCATTTTAGTTACGAGTTTAATTAAGAACGAGCGAAGCTTGCGAGCGAGTTTTTAATAAAAACGAGTATCTAAAGAAGTTTATAAAACGAGTTGCATACTAAACTTTATCTACGACGAACATAAATAAGATTTTAAAGCCAATTTTATTTGTTAAACATTTGACATCCGTCAACTGTCAACGGATTTAACCTCACTTTTTCACAATTAATATTAAAGCTAACTTCAGCTCGTGACTAAAATGACCAAGAGCCACTGTTGCTAACTTCAGCCCGTGACTAAAACGCCATAAAGTCACAGCTTATCAATGGTGGAGTAGATATAAAATACATTTAACTTATTTGAAAAGGATAATAATTATTGGTGTAGCGTAAATGTCTGCATCTCATACTCAAACTACGAATTTTATTTTGTCTAAAAATAATTGTTAAAAGAATTTCTAGGTCATTAGCTGTACAGAAGGAAAACTTTTTATTGTATAATATTTTATAAAATCGTCTAAAATTTTGTAGAATTTTACAGGAATAAAAAGATTATGTAAAAAAGAATCGTAAACAATTTCTGTAAAACTATGTAGTACCAGATTCGTTTAATGTAATAAAAAATTGAATTTATCGGAATCTCTTGTCAATAATTTCTATTTTTTCAATAATACAATAAAATCACATATTTTCAAAAAGAAACAATTCATTTTCATAAAAATAATTATAATTTTGCAGTCAAAGTAAAAAAATCATAGGAAAGCTTTTTTGTACAGCGTTCAATTTTCTATAAAAATATGTGTCTCTTATTGCTGAATATTAACTTGCTCGGGAGAAAAAATATTAAATGTAAATTAACTTGCCGAAAACCTATATGATATTTAAATGGAAAATGTATCGTCTTTGTGGCACAATGTTTAATATGAATATTTTGTTTTATAATTTTTTTAATATTTTTTTAGTTCATAAACTAAAAATTTAGGACACGGACACCCTACACTTGGCGTCAAGAAACTATTTAATAATTTTGTATAGATACCTCATAAAAAATTCTATACAAGAAAGGCACTTTATTTTGACGATTGTATGACTAAAAACCTGTTGCTAATTTCAGCACGTGACTAAAACGCCATAAAGTCACAGCTTGTCAATGCGTATTTAAAAGATCATTTGGTGTCATGGAAACATATACGGTTTAGGTGGGAGTAAAAAAACAATAATTTCATAGATAGATTATCAAAAAGACATTTCTGTGTCAATAGGAGCACTCTGATGGCCATTTGCACAAACGTTGTAATTACATTACTTAACTGATTTAGCTTATCGTTCGAAAAGGTCTCATTTTACTTTTGATTTTTAAAACTAAAGTCTACCAAGTGGTAAAAATTAGCGACCTTAATTTCCACAGAAAAAGCTCGCAATAGAAAGCAATAAACCAATTAGAGCACGGCATTCTCCACAGCACCCTAGGTGCAATGGAGAATGCCGTGCTCCTATTGGTTTAATTATATCTATAAAGATCATATTCTGTAGAAATAAAAGTCGATTGTTTAAAGAACAACCATTTGTTAAATTCAAAAATCAGCTGATAATCCAAATCACTTAACGTAACGTTTGTGCGTAGGACCCTTATAATCTTCTTTTCTTTAATTTTTATAGTATACCTTCCCCAAACAGGGGCAAAAAACGTGAATTAATGTATGTATGTGTAGTATGTTGCGTTGCACTTCTGATGCTGTACAAAATAAGATAGAAAACGTAAATATTGTATAGAACGTGAACCCCTTTTTTATTATTATTATTATTATTATTATCCTATTTTGATGACAATAAATTTTTAGTCGCCTTTTTTAAATATATTTTTTTCCTTTATTGTTTTTGTTATTTGGACCTTGATGATGTAAACAATTTTTCTAATGTCAATTTTACGAAAAAATGTCAAACTTAATAAAATGTATCAAATAAAGTCCAAATAATAAAAACTTACTTTACGTACCTATATATATTATATGTATTATAAAATTTACAAAAATTTGCATGCGTTTCTTCTTTTTTTTAATCTACCTTCTTAAAAAAGTGTTTCAAATTTAATTATTGTAATAAAATAAATAGGCCAACGACCTAATTTTGATGAGTGAATAAAAAAATTTTGCCGTCTTACAAATTGTGCCTATAAAAATTCAATCGATAGAACCTGTATACAGGTATATATACAGGGTGTTTCATATTCGTGGTACATTAGAAGTTTCTGGGAAACGAAAAAAGATATCGATTTAAAATTTTAAATGTGTTTTTTTTAATAAGTTATTTTCAAAATTAGCAAATACGCTAAACGTATCGCTAGTAGCGCCACCACTCGGCTTTTATCATCGTAACAAAAGTACAACTTTTGATAATCAGCTGGCAAACGCGTGTGTTACAAACGAGTGTTTTTGAGAATAAAGCCGGAAAATGAAAAAATATAGAAAAAAAACAGTGGCACGATTTGTTGTGTTGTTGGGTGTATTTCGAGAGGAAATCCTGGGTTAAGTTTTTATCGGTTTTCCAATAAACAGTGTTAATCCGAATGAAGATATAAATTTCATACAGTCCTTGTAAATATAAATTGTATCTAGTAGATGCAATAAATACACATTTTATTAATGATTAACGTGAAAAGTGTAAACATTTCAATTCAGTAAAAATCGTCAAACAAATAAGTTGTCTAAATTTAAACAGCATTTAGCATTATTAAAAGCGTTGATTAAGAATTCTTTAAAGTCTCCATTCAACCATTGACTCAACGGTAAAATACCATTATATTATGTATTATATAATATTATGTTGCCATGGATTCGTATGTATATTTTGTTGTTTAAAATGCAGTTGTCGGCGTTTTTAGAGAACTCAAATTGTTGATTTTAAGGTTATGTTTGTGCAAAAATTATTTTTTACTAATTTCTTAAAAATGTCCAAACTTAAATATAAATTATATTAGGTTAAGTTATCATTAGTAAATTCTGCACCAAAAAATGTACTTGCCGAACTGGATCCTTTGGCAAAACATGTTTAATGAAAATTAAAAACACAATAATTCACCATGATCCCTTGGATAAAATACACACACTAACGTAACTATATAACCATTTAAGCGTTGAGTTTCTTAATCAATGATATAAAGAATAATTATTCTCAATAATTATAATCAATCGAAATCGAGTACTAAACCAGTTTTTTAGTTTTTTCCTTGCAAGTCCACCAGATGGCGCGCGCGTTGCGAAAACCCGATACTTCTTTAGCGTATACCCACTATTTGTATAACTTTTTAATTTTTAATATGTTTGGCTTGTGAATGTTTTTGACTTACCTAAGTCACTGACTAACCTTTTTTTAACTGCAGTCACTCACCCGTCACTCATACAAAATGATATTTAAAATTTTAGAAATTTTTAATATCTCTGAAATTATTAACTTTAGGTATAGGAACATTATTAAAAAATATTAACGAATTGACATGAAATCTATTATACAATGATTAAAGATTCCAAAAATTTCACTTTCATATTCGCAAACCTCATAACAAAAATCGTTTTACTTTGTCTATTTTTGATTGATGCGCATTTGTCAAATTTTAACGACAAAAATTAATTAAATTAAACTTGAAAACTATTCACTTTAGGTATAGGACATGGTTAGGGGTGTCAATCCCGAGCCCTTTTTCTAATCCCGGGACTTTCGGGACCAAAGGTAACTAATCCCGGGATCAGTCCCGAAAAATATATATCGTTAAATTTAAAACCATTTTAAAATAAAGGAACAAACAAACCAACGAACGATATCTTTTGGACTTTACACTAGTTGGAGAAAAGGTTTTCAAGAATTCGTAGGCACATTGTACCCACTTCTACCCCCATTAACAAATAATTCCATTTCTTTTATCAATCGGGCCTTGGTGAGTTCCAATTGGGGCTGTAACTTACATTGAAATTATCAAGTTTGTGAAATTTTTTCAGGTTTGACGTTTGAAATATGTTATCATAGACAAGGGATAGGTTGGGTGGGCGGGGGGTTAGTTATGTATGTTATATTATAGGTTATGTACATGCATTTATTATGAATTATTGTACAGTGACCTGTAATTTTACAGTTTTTTTTGCTGATTTTATGCTTTGCTATGCATTATTTTCGGCGGTGTATAATAATTTTACTTTTGGACTGCGTACAAAAATTAAGTATTTCTATATATTCTTATAAGTATTATAATATAAAAATTGTCATACGCTTAAAAAAAGTATATTTTATTCTTTGTAACTTATTACTAAGATCCCGGGATTAGGACTTTTGATCCCGGGATTTTCGGGATTGGATTTTTTACGGGATCCCGGGACCCCGGGATTTCGGGATCCCGGGATTGACAACCCTAGACATGGTAAAGTAATTTTACCCAGAATTTTATGTAGAATTTAAAAATGTAAAAATATATGGAGTGTTCCATTTGAAAATTATTTAGTTGAAATGGAGCCATATTAGCTCTATACTTTTCTCCTGTGACAATATTTCCAATATTTTTGTAATTTTAACTTTAAATGTACAAATTATTTTGAAATAAATAAATATTATTATTATTATTATTATTAAATAACAAAGTCGATGTCACTTCCTGCTATTTTAGAAAAATAGAATTAAATAGATTATCAACGCTTTAAAAATTTTAAATCGATATCTTTTTCCGTTCCCCAGAAACTTAAAATTAAATAAGGTATTAGTTTTCGCGGAGTTAATCCTGAACTACTTCTGGACATGAGCATTTTAAAATACGCATGTCCGGGGAAAACAGCTATTCAGAAAAGGTCAAAATTGAAATAAAAATTAAGTTTGCAACATTTGCTATGTTTGCAAATCCACCACCACCATTTTAGCACACCCACAACAAGTAATGAAAACATCTTGTTAAATTCTCAAACAATTGTTTTATTAAAGACCTTTCTTCAAAACACTACTGAATATTTTAACAAGATTTTTCGACTTCCTAAACCCACCACCCAAGTGCACCGAGTGCTATACACAAACCACAATAAATGTACCCCAAAAGCTTGATCGCCCGAGAAAACCTAGAACCCCAAAACTAAAACATACACGGTGAACTTGTGCATTATAACCGAAATCCGAAAAAAAACAAAAGACCGTCGTTCTGCAAGCGCGTGGATCAGCGGCAGGCCCCCACCTCATAACACCCCCACCACCGTCACCCCGGCGACACTGAACGCGCGTGCGCACTCGCGCGCTGCCGTTCGTTTCCGTCCACCACCTACCACCACTTCTACTGTCGCTACTCTACTACTTCAGCTAGTGATGCTATGCCGTCTAATGTGAGTCGTAGTATACTTACTAGTACTAGTGCTATGCCGTCCTGGTGAAGAATTTCAGGCAGTACTGTTCGAGTCTTTTTGCTTTTTCTTATTGTAGATATGTATGTTTATGTATAGTTGTTTAAGTTGTGAATTTTTGTTTGTTTATTTTAATGTAGACATGCACTTTGATACATTTTTCAAGCTATTTTTATTTGTTATTTATTAAATAATATTTAATTACCAAGGTAAGTACTAAGATGAGTGGTTTTGAAATATTATATTAGAGAACTAATGTCATAAGACGTCATTTTGTCGCACGCGGTTCTTTATGCTATTTTATGCAAAAATTTTATAAATAATATTAATTTTATATCTTAAATTTAATTTGGTCGAATTTTACTTTAGATAGTTGGTATCAGTCATTGGTTTGACAGTTAATGTCAAAATCGATTCGCCATGCTGTTTAAAGTATAGCCAACCTATAAAATAAAAATTTGTGTGATAAAGAATCTCATTACAGCACCGAAAGCGGTGTTATAATGTTATAATTATGAACGCAAAATAGATAAAAAATATTATGCAACGCAATTGTTCATATCTGACGAGTTTATCCGTCATTTTCTCTATAATGTAAAAAGAATTGTTAAATTTGTTCAGAATTGCTCAACATAATGAATCACTCTAATTTTTTGTCGTCACATTTTATATAGGGTAAAATCCTAGTAAAGATTGTTCTCGCAGTGGCGGCTCGTCAGGGTAGGCTGATTTCAATATTCACTGTTATTTTAACCAATCGGGTTTTAAATTGGGAAAAATAAGGTTAACAGATGTCAGTTTTGTTTATACAGGGTGTTTGTTTTAACTTGAGACAGCTCAATATCTCGAGAAATACGCATTTCACGGAAAAATGTCTTAAATAAAAGGTTAATGTGACCAAAGGGGACATTATTTGGTGACCTAATGACGACATTTCGAACATTTGTTATAAATTGTTTTCATAGCCGACTATTGTTGTTAATGTTAATTTTTGTTTTTCAAACGTTTCAAATAATACATTTTACAAGGAAACTCATTTTTCTTAAATTTTGAATTACAGCGCCATCTGTTGATAAATTGAAAAAAGTTTTAAATAAAAGTTATTTATTTTTTTATGTACTACCAAACTCTGAAAAAAATCGGGTCATTCCATTTGACTTTCCAAAGTTACCCCCCGTTTCACCCTTAGGAGGGGTAGGGGGTGGCTAGCGGTAGCACCAAATAATGTCCCCTCTAGTCACATTAACCTTTTATTTAAGACATTTTTCCGTGAAATGCGTATTTCTCGAGATATTGAGCTGTCTCAAGTTAAAAGAAACACCCTGTATATACGAGGGGCGACTATAATGATCTTTAAATTTTGTTATCAATGAAAATTACTTTATTGGAGTAGAAAAAGCATAGTATTACACTCGATATAATGCGCATTATTTACTCGGATGAATTACGTCTCTCGCCTAACGGCTCGGCACACCTCATCCTTGTGAATAATAGCCTGCATTATCTATTGTATAATAATATACGTATTATCCATCCATATAAATATATTTTTAAGTTCCAGATATATCATTTAAATGACTCTTTACAAATTCAAACCAATAATTTTGAAGAATAAAATATTAAAATTCCATTTTTTAAAAATCAATATTTTTAAACTTAAACTTTTACAGTTGCATTTTATATTTAAAATATTTTTTGATTATCAATATTTTTGAGTTTACAAACTGTTTTGGTAGGAAATGTTTTATACCTATGTGTTTTTATTTTAAATGGATTGATACTATTTTTAAATACTAAAAAATTTAACTTTACCAAATTAATCTCAATAATTTTATAAAATAATTATTTAAGTTTAGTTACAAAATGCCACCCAAATAAATTATACTTGGGAAATTATTTTTATTAAAAAATGATGGTTACAAATTTTTGCAAAAATTGATAGAAAATAATATTGTTTAATACAGAAGTGAATTGTTAGTTAGTAAATTTTGTCTTTGACATGATAGTTGAAAAGATTTTAAATTTATAAATGTAAACCTAAAATTTTTAGTTGAAAAAAATTTAAACCAATAAAATTTTAAATTAAAAAATTATTTAATGAATGTTAAAACGGCGTGCCATAATTTTCTGAACACACCTCGTATTTTAAAGTTTTAAAAAACCAATTTATGTTTTGGGTTAATATTGCTTTGATATTTTTTTGTTTTTTTATTTATAATGGTTTAGTATTCTAAGAAAGGTCAACGCGTCGCAGAATAATACCTGTATTTAGACAAAATTAACCTCATGTAGCCTCACCCTCCTATACACCGACGAGCCGCCACTGGATTCTCGAGATATGAGGCAGAGAATCGCTAGGATTTTGTCCGAAGGCGTGCAGTTTTATTAATTGTTTTTGTCGCCGTTAGATGGAGCCGGCGTAGTCGCTCGGGAAACTCGAGCTCGAGCCGCCGCGATCACGTGGACTACCGCACCGGATACATCCGATCTCACCTTCGGTCTCCTTCGGGCCGAGTGCGGTGACCTCTCGAACCAATCAACGACGACCTTTCGATTGCCGCGGCCAACGAGAGGCCTGACTCGCTCAGCCAGTTTCTTTTGACTGTACTGTAGGGGACAATCGTTGCCAAAATTCGCCAACACAACCCTTGTGGAAATTTTTCTCTGAGAAAGTCTTACTTTCTCTTAAAAAGTCTGAATAATACTTATTAAGTCGGAAAAAGTCAGAATAAGACTTATTAAAGTCGGAAAAAGTCTGAATAAGTCATATTAAGTCAGACTAATAGCAAGATTTGGGAGTCTTCTGGAAGAGTTAATAAGACTTTTTAAGACTTAATAAGATTTTTAGTAGAGAAATGGTAAGTACCTATGGCAATAAAAATAAATATCCGAAATAATTAATAGAGGTTGTATTTGGATTTCGTAAAATAAAACACATAGAAAAGTATTTATTAACATTTTTGCTGTTGTTATAAGCAAAGTTTATTGCATAATTACCTATATAATAACATAGGTTAGATGTAATAATTATAACACTTATAATTTTATACATACGATGCGCTTGATATGCTTTCATTGTTTCCACCATAGAAAAAGGAGTTGCCACTGTACGTTTTATTTTAATAGATTCTTTTGATCTTCTAGACGTAGGTAATATCGAGAGACCAGCTCAGCTAGCTGACCAATTAGAGCACAGCTGACCTGTCAGTGGGACACAGTGCTGCCGTTTGCAAGTATTTTACTCGAAAATCGGGTATTTTCGTAATATTTGCGGGTGAAATCGGGGGATTTGCGAATTTCTATCAAAATAATAACAAAAGAAATTTTCAGTAAATAATATTGTATATTTACTAAATATGCACAATTATTTTATTCTATCGTGTTACATTTTTATTATTATTTTAGTATTTTGTAATTTATGGTCAGGAACTTTTATGTCAACACTGTACGTAAACACGAAGATCAACCATGATACAAAGATGAATGAAACACTCCTTTTTCTATGATGGAAACAATGAAAGCATGTCAAGCGCATCGTATGTATAAAATTATAATTGTTATAATTATTACATCTTACCTATGTTATTATATAGGTATACCTAATTATAATTATGCAATGCAAAACTTGGCTTATAACAATTGTTAATTGTTAACAGCAAAAATGTTAATAAATACTTTTCTATGTGTTTTATTTTACGATAACCAAATATGAATTATTTCGGATATTTATTTTTATCGCCATTGGTACCTACCATTTCTCTATAGAGATAATAATAGTATATACTATTATTATCTCTATAGAGAAATGGTAGGTAAGACTTTTAGTATATACTAAAAGTCTTATTAAGTCTTATTAACTCTTCCAGAAGACTCCCAAATCTTGCTATTAGTCTGACTTAATAAGACTTATTCAGACTTTTTCCGACTTAATAAGTATTAATTAATAATTATTCAGACTTTTTAAGAGAAAGTAAGACTTTCTCAGAGAAAAATTTCCACAAGGGAACCACAGCTTTTTTGATCACTTTTTACATAAAACAATACCAAAATAATATCAACAATTATTATTATTTGAATCATAACTTTTATATTCAAAAAACAAGTCTTGTTGATTTATAAATATAAAAACTAGTTACCGGAAAATGTATTTAACATTTTTGTAAAAAATCGTGTCTATTCATATCATAACATAGCATTATTGTTACCTATATGTATCAATGGAATAAAAAAAAACTTACACTTTAATAAATCTAATAGGTATTTATTTTTAATTCAATAAAAAAACTTCATGTATACAGGGTGTATTTTTGAACTCATCTGTTTTAGAGAGAAATATAATAATATAAATAGGTATAGAATATAATATAATAATTGTTAATAATTAATTTGTAGAGATTTATTGACTGATGTTTTAGAGTAAACGTTATCTGACTAATTGTAAATAATATTTATGTGACACCAACCCCATAAGTGTTCCGCGCTGAACAATTTACCAATCATATAATATATAATATTAAATAAATAAATTATAGGTAAGTTGTAAATAAATAGTAAAAAAAATTAACTGTTGTTTTACTTAAAATCATTCTACAGTCAAAAGTATAGAACAAATTCATTAAAAAATTATGCTTCTTTTCTCAAAAAAAAAACCTTGATGTATAATTTTCGTATTTTCTGCCATTTTTGTAGAATCTCTGATGTAATCGGCCATTTTTTTTAGAGATTCGAATAGATTATGAAATGGTGATGTCAGGAATATGCATATTTATACCTTTTGGGCTGATAGTATCGGATCACTATACAGATGCGTCTCATATGCAGCGCACGTCTGCCGGCGCATTTAAAGCGCACGTGTGCCGACGCATTTCCAGCCCACATGAATGAGTAAAAAAAGTTGTATATTTTAAAAGGAAATGAATATATAACGACGGGTTTAATGCAAATTTTTCGAAAAATTGTTAGAAGTACAGGTTGATAGAGAATTAAATTCTCTAGCTAGAGCTTTATCGAACATTTTCAGCTCAAAAATTGAATTTTTGTTTTATTTTAATTTTTTTTCTCGTCTCAATATTATTTTTTAGGTTGAAAATTCTGTAAATTTTAAATCAATATTTGGATTTCTAAAGGTCGCTAAAAGTTCGTTGATATTTGTATATTCAGAGGTCGCTCGAAAACATTCAAAATACTCTACTTTGAAAGTAAAAAAAATCTTGAGCGACCTTAAGAAATCAAAATATCGATTTGAAATTTTCAGAATCATTATTATTTTCAAATTAAAAAATAATATCGGAACGAGAAAAAAAAATAAAATAAGAAAAAATCCAATTTTGGAAATTTTTAAAAATCTTGAGCGACCCCTAAAAAATTTTTAATGGAGCTGATCTTTTGGCAGGGCTCTTAAAACATGACAAACCAACATATTTTCACAAGTAAATAAATATCACAAACGTAAAATAAAAAAATCTTAATGTAAATAAAAAAGCACATGATCAATTAATCGAGTGATTTTAAAAATACTAAACTAAATAATCACAATAGTAAAATCACAAAATCTTAAAGCAAATAAAAATCTTGAAGTAAATAAAAATGCACATGTTGATTAATTAATTAAGTGATTTTTAAATACTTTTAAAAATCACAAAATCCTAAATAAAAAGTAAATAAAAATCTCAAATTAAAAATTCACCTGTGAACAATTGATCAATTAATCAAGTGATTTTGAAAATACTTTCAAAAATCCAATTAAAATAATAGAATCCATAAGTACCTAATTAAAAATCTTAAAAAAAGCAAAAATAAAATTTTTTTTAAGTACAATAATAATAAATAAAAATCTCAAAGTAAATAAAAATGCACAAGTTGATTAATTGATTAAGTGATTTTAAAAATAGGTACTGTCAAAAATCACAAAAGTAAAATAAAAAATCTTAAATAAAATAAAAATGCACAGGTTCATAATTTAAATTATTGTGAAATCCCAAGAAAAACAATCAATTATGATGGGAAAATGCTTGTTATGATTTAATCTTTATATTTTTCAAACTTACCTAAAATCCTTAATAACTTTTATCAATTTAACTATATTATCACGTGGACACAACAAACACAATAGAAAAATAAATACAATACAAACATAACCTGATTGCAGCAATGTAATAAGGTTATGTTTTTGTCGAATTACCGCGTTGACCGGTTACGCGCGAATTTTAAAATTTGAATTTAAATGCAATATAATAAATTATAATTAATATATATAAATTTTGTAATTATAAAGTGAATAAAAACGAAATCTACTGTTTTTTGATAGAATCTGGCATCACTGCCGATAAGCACAGTGTAAGAGATCATTGATCACGTCGTGCGCTCATACTGCGCTCATCGCGTGGGCGCGCACGGCTATGCTACTCATATGCGTGTGAAATCGACCGCACGCGTGCACGTGTCGATATACGAGAATTTTAGGATAGGCTTGCTTACTGCCAACAAACCATAGAGGAGCAATTAGACCATATAATTGGTTAATGTATCCATTAATAGCATTTTCAAAACAATTTTCATGAAGATAAAAAATATTTTTGGAGAAAAATTTTTTTAAATCACAAACCCACAACTATCATCCCAAAAGACATAAATGTGCTTATTGCTGAATTCAGAATTCGAATCTGCAAAAAAGGGGGTACAATTTAAAAAAACGACCTATGACATCATAGCTTCTACAAAATGGCGACAAATATGAAAATTTTACATCAAAATAACACAGGGCTCCCACACCTCCTAAAATTCCTAAAATTTGGCTTAAATCTTAAAAACTCCTAAAATTGCCATTAATCTCCTAAAACTCCTAAAAATTAAATATAATTAGGCCAACTTGACTGCGTTTATTAAGGTAGTTGTGCTAAAAAATTTCTTTTTTAAAAAGTAATCTAAAAAATATATATTTTTGGGTTCTAGTTTATTAAATTCTTTTTAAAATGATAGGTATCACAACCTACATTTTTCTTAAAAAACAACAAAATATACCATAAAACAAAATCCATGTAGTAGCTTATAGACTTCTACAAAATTGTCATTTTTAGCCATATTTCGTTAATTTTCGGCAAAAATATACCGTGTTATATATCAAACAAAAGGATTTTTAATTTTCTTTTAAATGATAGCTAAAATAGTAAACAATGATTGTTTAACAATCTAAAGAATGTTTTGCTGTATCATGCACTTTATATTTTTTCTATTATAAGATTTTTTAGTAACAATAACATTACAATTATTGTTAGTTATTAACTAAACTGTTAATTTTTTTTTCAAAATATAGGTAAATATAACATCATTAAACTTTGGCCTACTTTTTTAGCCATATCTTTGTTTTTTTAAATAAAATTAAAAGTGGTGAAATTTCTACTTGTAGATATATACAAAAGTAGTAATTGTACCTCACTTTTCATTTTATTAAAAAAAAACTTGTCGAGCGATTTGGCTAAAAAACTAGTCAATTTTATATTTTTGTTAAAAAGAATTACTTATTTTTTTCTTATTTTTTAAGTATAGTGTAGAGTTGTTTTTATTTAATGAAATAAATTCATTTGCATACTTTTTTCTCCTAAAATTCTACAAAAAACCTCCTAAATTCCTAAATAAAATTTGTAATTTAACCGTGAGAGCCCTGATAACAAGCAAATCGACGTGTTCAAGAAATTTTATAGGAAAAAAGGCACATTTTTTAATGAATTTATTTGTAACATAATGTGATATCATTGATTAAGGTGAAATAACTACAAAATAAATGAAAAACAAAATAACTTTAAATATATATTCAGTCTAGTAACTTATCCTTCTTAATTCAAGATATTTTGTGCATTAAAAACCCCATTCTAAAAGAATATTGACATTCTTGGAAAATGTACAATCTTGACTTAAAAATAGAAATAAAACTATAAAAATGGTAAAAAATCCAAAAACAAAGCCAGGAGTTACAATATAGATATATTAAAGTTACATTTAAATTCCAAACAGAATTAAAATATCAACAAATTTCATTTTACTTTGCAGCTGCTAGCTGCCTAAAAACTGTTTTTTATTGTCTCACTTTTGTATAATTGGTTTGTTCCTACAGAGTATTTTTACTGTCAAATGGACATGCGCAATACGAAAACATTTCGCATGTCCCCAAAATAGATTAATAACCCCCCGACGTTCATTTGACAGTCCAAATTTTTGGCAGGAACCAGCCTAATTATAACAAAAACGAAAATTACTTATACCACATTTTACCCTTGGGCAATGCTTGTATTAACCTAAATAACTTTTTAAGTACAACTTACAATAATTTGACTATAAAGCTTCAGACCTACAGACAGGACAGTTTCTTTTGTTTCGAAACCAGGACTCGATACAGCGTGTATGAAACACATGTCCACAAGGTAAATTTTTAAAATCTCTCGCCAAAAAATCCAGGCAAATGCTGCAATTTTTGTTCTTCCTCCTTCTTCTGGTTCTAAAATATTTTATTTGTGGAATATATACTGTTTTTTGAAGTTCTACTTACCCTTGATCCTCCCCATCTTCCAACGATAGATGATATGGAAGACTGAATTCATCATCATTGAAATCTCTTCCTGAATGATGTTGATATGTGTTTTGCTGTTGATTACCCGAATTCGACCATATTGTGTAGATGGCCGTTCCCACTGCCACTACAAGCATTGCCCCAAGAACCAACGGGTGATAATGCATCTTTACTGAAAATCAACCCTAACTTTTATCCATTTTGACAAATAGTCACGTAACTTACCAAAACAAAACGTCACATGCAATCTTTGTAATTTTATCAAAATTTTCTTACAGGGTAGCCACTAAAATAAGTTCACGACCCATTTCAATAAATTAAATTAAACGTAGGAAATAAGCAGTTCATTAACAGAAATTCTCGACGAGAATTTCTCGTTTACTGTACGTACACAAATAAATATTTACATCGCAATTGGTGTTTATGCAATTTGACATCTTTCCAAAACTGCACCAGTAGTTTAAATGGACCGTCAGAATAAATTAAGTTCGGCAACGTTGTAAATGACAAATTTGGTAAAAGAACGGTTTGTTCCTGCAAAATAAAAATGTTTTTTTTACAATTTATTGTGCTGTGATGGTTATTATAAATTTAAAACAATTTTTCTTAAAAAATGACTGAAAGTATATAAAAAAATAAAAAATCTGAACATAACCAAATTCTTTGGCAGTTATAAAACCATTAACAACGTATTTTAGTATAAAGTTCACAAAATTATTTTTAAAATGTATTATTCGCACCTCTGTTAAGTACTTTTCCACGATTATTAAAAGATTTAAATACTTTAGAGAATTTTAAACATAACCTAGAAACCATGCTAGATGCAGATGTTGAACATAGATAATAAATCATGATGTTGAATTTATTCGTAATTCTTGACAAATTTCTTATAAGAACATGACGTCACGATCTCCCTATTGAAAATGCCATATAGAACCCATATTGAATCCGATAAGGAAACGTATCTGGTTCTATATGGTTTTATAGGTCCTATATGGAAAGTCCTGGTTTACATTACGGATTCTATATGGTTGAATATGGATTTCCATTTTAAAAATTTTCATATTCAACCATATAGGGAAACCTATCTGGAAATACATATAGAACAGAATCCAGATAAATCCATATACAACCATATACATGTCTTTATAAAGACATGTATATGGATGTATATGGATTTATCTGGTTTCTGTTCTATATGTATTTCCAGATAGGTTTCCCTATCTGGTTCTATAGTGTTTTAGAGTGTTTTTATCTGGTTCTATAATGTAATCTTCTATCTGGTTCTATAGTGAAATGCCTGTTTCAAATACCTATATTGAACCAGATAGAATCCATATAGAATCCAGATACGTGTTTTTATATGGTTCTATATGGCATTTTCAATAGGGCTCTCTTCAAGGTCATGGTTTTGAATCTTGCGGTTTTCAATTTGAGAACTCTAGCGTTCTCAAAATCTTCTAATAGAATACCTAGGTACTTCTATTATTAATAAACAATGATTCGCACAGTCGTATGCAAATAAAAAGCGTTAATTGACGGCTGGTTTACATCTACGGCACTGTATTTTCGTATTGTTCATCTTTTACGGTAGGAAGGAAGGAAGGCAATCTATAAATGAGGAGCATCCGTGCAAAACCGGCTAAATCCATTTTATTCAAATTTTTTTTTTGATTTTGCATCTTTGGGTTCATTTCTATCGACAACCAAGATAATTCAGTTTAAATCCGACTAAATCCATGTTAAAATCACATTTAAAAGGTAGCTTTAGGAGCAAAACCGGCCAAATCCACGTTTTTTTTTAGCAAACCCGGCTATATCCAATAAATAATAATATGTGGCTTGGATATGTCGATACTACTACTAAAATTTGTTCTGTTTTTTGAATAATAAAGGTTTTTTTTTACATTTTATTCGTTTTTTATTCGGTTTTCGAGCAAAACCGGCTATATCCAAAACATTTTTTGAAATTTTGGCCTTAATATAAAGTTTTTGAAAACGAAAGTATGTCTTATAAATAAAGTACCACAAAGCCCACAAAACTCAAGTTTGCTTTTTCTTTTATCTGTAAAGGCCAGGAAACCGAGAGTTTTTGCCATTTTCCCAACATTTTATTAAAGTGGATATAGCCGGTTTTGAACGGATGCTCCTCAAATGAGGCTTTGGTTATTACGTCTGTGGTTATAACGTATACGAGTCGACGATCGGCATTTGTCGGTCTCTTATCGGGTGAACACTGAGACAGTGAAGGCTGCCAGCTTTTCTTCTTATCGGATATACACAGAGATATGGAGATATATCTCTGGATATACACTGTTACTACGGTGGCGCATGATACAAGGAAACATTGTATCATGCGGTGGCGCATGCATTCTGCGTTTCATGTGTTCTTGTTTTGGTCCGCCATTAAATGCATGTGTTCCATGCTTAGACAAGGTTCTGTGAATGAGTGCACCATGGAGCCTATACATAGGCTCCATATGGAGTGCACTTTCATGAAACAAGCAACAGGCCTGTGGATTATTTTTTCCTGGGTTAAAAAGGTAGGTCTATTGTTTATGTTTAATAATTTTTTCTTTGACGAAAAGTATTTCAACTGAAAATATGCATTCACTTTATTTCGACTTATCAATAAAACTATTTAATTCTTATATATTGTTTTATTCATCTAAGATTTATTTTGATAGGTAGGTATGTAAAGAAATTAATTAAATACTTTGACACTGTCAAATTGACAATAATTTTTATTATTGTCAATTAAGTATAAATAAAAAGATCATTATGCCAAAAATAATAGCAACGAATTCAAATGTAAAAGCCCTTTTGTGGGCAAAACTTAATTTTGTTGAAATTATGCCAAATGCCACAATGGAAGAGAAAGCTTTCTCTTCCATTGTGGCATTGTACTAGTACATCGCCTTATGGACATTTTTGGAGTAAAAAAGTAACGAATTTGGTTTTATAAATATTACATCACACATTATTTTCACATTATTCACCATTGGACAACATTTACGTTCACAAAAAATTTTAATTTCTTTTATATAAATTCTTTTCAAAGCGAAGATTATTATCCGCTAGGAATACTTTCTCTTCTGGGCCGTAAAGCAACCTATATTTAACTACTTTTTTTAAATGATTTTACTCATACAAGCACCACCAAAGCCAAATTAATTGCATTTTTAACTATATACGAATTTCAATACACAATAATTTATACATAACCACAATTATATTTATAACTAGCTTAGTTTGTTTTAATCAATGCGACCAACTTGACAACTGTATTAACAACAAAAACCCTAAATTTGCAACGTTGCCGCAGTCCAGATAAAAAAAGAACTTTAGTTTAGTTTGTCCAGATAAAAAAATGAACTTTATGTATATTATATTTATAATAAAATAATATATTGTAAAATAAAGCCACTTTTACTAAACCTATTTTAAATATTTACGCATAAATGTAGGACTGTTACAAAAATATTTACCACGCACTGCCTGGAAAAGGCGATAGCAATAAGTAAAATATACTCCAGGAATACTTCTTTCACATCGCCTAGGAAGGGTAATTAGACATGAATATTTCAGGGAATATTCTGGGATGCTTGGAATAATCCCGGGAATGTTCCTAACATATTCTGAGAATATTACTTTGCGGCCTGCGTATGTATCGTATACCCCCGTGCACCACAATAATAAAAATAATAAATTTAACTAATCGAGACAAAAACTTTAAAAGATCATCGTTTGAGCGTGGATTTTAATTTACCATTTATGATTGATTAATTTTTTACTTTTTATTTTGTAGAACTGTAGTAACAGTACACTTGTAGTAGGTAAAAAGCCAAATAAATACGAAAGGTTGCATCATGTATATGTAGAATATAGATTAATCTAAGAATTCTTAGATTATTATAATAAGAAGGTAGACTAGAAAGTTGATATAAGATAGGATGCATGTATAGAGGATTCCCACCCCACCTTTGTCGGCGGCGGCGGCGGGAGATCGCATGCCGCCGCATCGCGCTTCTATCGACCACCACGCGGGCGCAAACACTGCGCCAACGTGCCTTCGAGAATTTCCTCGCAGTATCTTTCCAGCGGCGATCAGATAACCTTAACCGCCGGCGGGATGCCGCTCTCATCGCCTATCCCAATACTGCTACTATGTGAAAAGTATGGACTTGCCCCGAGTCACGTCGCAGTCTTCCCTCTGTCCGACCGACCACTCGGACAAGTCGAGGACGCCGGCCAGCCAGAAGCTGCTCGTCCAGCAGCAGCAACAGAAAGCACTTGCCGCTATCAATAGAGTAAGTCCAGAGAAAACACAACTTTGTCTTCAAATCAGTAAGGTAATACCACTTTTAAAAAAAGGTGATACCTACTAAAGAAATAGCATACACTTAAAAAAAGAATTATGTAAATTTACCACGAAAATTTGCAACAACAAAGTAATTTTACAAAACAGTATTAAAATTACATTGTAATTTTATACCCATGTAATTAAATTTACAAAGTAAAATTCCTAGTTCAAATAAAATCATATTGTAAAGTTACTAGATTTCCTGTAAATTTACAATGTAAAATTCCTAGTTAAAATAAAATTATAATGTAAAATTACTGACTTCAATGTAAATTTACTAATACTTAAAAATGTAAAATTCCTTCTTTAGTAAAATTACAATGTAAATTTAATTTACAACATATTATAACATTAAAAAGAAGACATCATTTTAAAAACCAAAAACTATAAAATTGGAAATTATATTTAAATTCATAGGCAACCAAAATTAACTTTCAATTTGATAATTTGTGGTTGTTAATATAGTGTCTTCTTTTGGTGTTGTGATATGTTGTTTTACATTTTATTGGAAACCGTGGTTCAAGGAATATCTAAATGAAAATAACTTGGAATTGTTCAATTGACGGTGTTTTCTTTTTATGGACACAGAATTTTGAACGTTATAATTTGGTTGTCCCTGTATAAATCTGTAAATAGCAAATAAACAATATTGTCCATTTTTGTTTCGTTGTCAAAACGACAAGACTAGTGATAACCGGAATTAAGGTTAGTTGGCCATCAGGGAAGTTAAGATTTTAATATTAACTGGACGAAAGCCGTTCAAAATTCCGTGTCCGTCACTGTACTTGTACGACAGGTATTTATCATTATTTTTTAGCCATATATATATGGTTAAAAAAATTTAAAAAACGATAAGGGATTTATATTTACTTACCTGCAAAAACTACATGTATTTTGTATTACTAAATATTATTGTTATTATTATGATTAAGAAGTAATAAACTGTTTTAGGCACATAATATTTTATTTAACTTAATCTATAAATATATAAGTGAGTTTTAAAACGGTTATAGTTTTTAAGAACACATCTTCAGTTCCGCTATAGACACGTAAACACTGCTCCTGGTGTATTTCTATGCAATTGAAGATTAGTGTTATATTTTTTTAAAGAATATAATTTAATTTCGCAAATATTACAGGCTAACATAGTCTAAAACAATTATGAATTAATTATGCATCTTTAACTAAGTTTAAAGTAGGTACTTACCAATAGTAAAAGGCCTTGTAGAAAACTAAATTCTAACTGTGCACATAAAAACACGTTCATCTATAGATTTAGTATACTAAACACAATGGTTGACATCAAAGACGTTTTGGAAGCGGATGCAACACAGTTTTTTGTAAAATTAATCATTTTTGTGAAGTTACAATGGAATATTAAGTTTTGTTATGTAAAAATACATTTCATTTTGTTATATTTACATTAAGTATTATTGTTTTAAATACATATCAATTTGTAATATTTGCATAATTTTTGTAATTTTACTATTCGCATGTAAAATTACAAGTTTTATTGTAAATTCCAAGCAATTACCGCGCGCCAAATCGTGATGCAGGGTTGCATCCGCTTCCAAAACGTGTATACACTGTTCAAAATTTCATGACCATTTTAACACCAAATTAACACCATACATGGTCTATATCGATACAAACCAAAATGGTGTTAAATATGGTTCGTTGGCCGGTGTAAATTCAAATACTAAAATGGTGTTAATTTAACTTTCACACAGTATTAAAATAAATTTTACCTGGTGTAAATTAAACTCCTTTTCAGTGTTAAATATTATGTGTTTGTGGTGAAATTAAATCATACTACACAGAAAAAAAGGAAAAAAAAGGAAACAGGAAGTTCCTTGACGCATTACTAGTATATTACCAGTGGTATTATTCCAGAAAATGGAACCTTCAACTCGCTAGAGATAATGTTTTTAGTGCGTTCCACTAACTTAAAATACTTCAAGTATTGACAGCTGTTTCCACCTATTTAATGTCTCTTTAGTATTGAACAACTTGTAGTGTCACACCAAAGCAAAGGACCACCTGAGTTTATATATTCTTCATGTAAGTCAACAGAGGCGAGATTTAAGAACATCACGTGATCCACACCGCCTTTGCCGCGATCGGTACACATTTTCAACCATAATTCATGGTGTTATATTAACACCACTTGGTGTTGGATTTTGACACCATTTTAAGATTACTTTTTACACCACAGAAATTTTAAACAGTGTACCGTCCAATCTCTATTATTCCTGTAATCGGTAAAGTTATAGAAAATATACTAAAAAATAAACTTATTAAATATATTTAGATATATCTAAATACCCTTAAAATTATTGGACGCCTGTCAATTTGGTTTTCGCTCTAACAGATGCACAATTAAAGTTATAAGTGACATTTTGGAAAGTCTTTAAAAAGGAAATAGTACTGTCCGTTCAGGCTAAGTTGAGCGGTCTAAGGAATGTCACCCCGTCCATCATCTCTATATTCAGGCACAATTAAATACATGTAAGTATTTCGGTAGCCGCTCTGTACGAACAAACGGCAAGCCGCGGCACTGATAAATCATCTTTTTGATACCGAAATCTCTCAAGGATTCTATGCTTAATTTAATTAACGGCCACATGACCCCCCACCAAAGCGCTCAACTTAGCCTGAACGGACTGTATATTCCTAACTATGTGCGATCTGTTATTGGAAAAACTACAAGAGGAAAATCTATGGATGTTTTTAAATCATACCTTAATAACAGAAATCAACGTGTCTATTTAAATAACTGTCTTTCTGAAACCAGAATGATACCTTCTGGAGTGCCTCAAGGTTCCATATTGAGTCCGGTTCTTTTTATAATATATATTAACGATCTTTTCTTTAATTTGTTACCTAAAAAAAGCGTGGCTTTCTCTGAAGATGGAGGAGATGAGGATTTAAATTTACTTTAAATAATCGATGGTGTAACGGGCAAAAGTGCCGTTACAAAAATTTAAATTGTAATTGTGAATTTTAGTCATATTTATGCTTACAGAAAATATTGGTAATAAACATCTGCATACTTATACTGTGTTAAAATGCAAAGGTAAACAATAAAATAAGTTAGTTTCATAATTTATTTCAATTCTGATCCATACTGTATAATATCACTTTTAGTTATTTAAATTTTGTCCAATATTTCCAGCCATAACCTCCACATGACCTTCATGTATTTTCTATGAATCCTGAAAACAAATAGTAATGTACTTGCAAAGTATTAGTTGTATTATAAAATAGAACTTACCTATATTTATATGTTTAAGTTTATTTTCGTTTTCCTAGCAGATTCTAGGAATAGGTGATAGTTTTCTTGTAAGTGCTGTCATTTGCAATTTGCGTTTGTTTATGTTTTTTTGTGTTTAATTTCCATTGATTAAATAACCATTGTTTAAGATTTATGTAATTATTCTTCATAATTTAATTTCATGAATATTTCTTTATTATTTTTCTTCGACAATTGAAGCTGGCTGAAAATTAAAAATAAATTAAAATCTAAATTAAATTCAAATTTAAATACACATTATTTTTTTTATTCACATTAATTAAAATATTGGTAATGCCTATAGTTAAAGTTAAAATCCTCTAAACAAATTTGGTTCTAAATGAAAATTACTAATTTTTTTCAAGATCTAGCCACGTTCTTTTCTATTCGATACTTTGAAGAAGTCGGTTGTGTTTCAAGCCAAATAAAAATTTATTTAATTCTATTATTATAAAGAACAAGGCAAATCTTTATTTTAAGGTAAATCTTTTAATTATTTTCTTTTAATTATTTAATTTATTAATTTAATAATTTACTTACATTTTTCTTGATTTTTTTGGCACTTTGTCAATGTGGCCACATGGTAATTTTCCTAATGCTTCATTTTGTTGTAGAACAATTGCCACCTTTTTTTGAGTACACCTTTATTTGAGTACACCTTTTTATGGGTACACCTTTTAAAAGTTAATTAACTTCACTTTATCAACATATCATCTTTAATATAAATTTTGAAGAGGTAGAACAAGGAAAATTCTTGGAATATCTTGTATTCATTTCTTTTGTGGAAATTGGAGAAGTTTTACACAGTAATCCGTTATATTAGATTGTGAAGAATATATTGTCCTTTGTGTTACCTTTGTACATCGTCATCTACTTGTAAATCATCCTGAAGGTTCAGCGACGAAACCGAAGCAACCTAGAAAACAACAAGCCTTAGGAACATCGCCTATTTAAAATAAGGAAATACTACCTACTCACTGATTTTATATAATTGTAAAAGGTAAACTGCAGTTTTCCATTATTGTTGCCAATTTTATGAATTGTATAAACCAATCATTATTATTATTTCTTCCAGTGTATGCTAAAAGGGGTATAGTATTTTACTTAATTTTGTTATAGATAGTTTTACAAGCTTACCTAAATATCAGCATTTATAACAGTTGTTTTCTGTTCACTGTGCTATGCAATTATAAGTAGATTTTATTTGTTTTGTTGTCCGCGTATTAAAAAACTGTGTGTAAAAACTGGTTCTTTTATTTTATCATCTTTTTGTTTTATTTCAGAAACTAAATAATATTTATAAAATTTTCTATTTAACATCTATTACATATATTTTTTTTCAAGTAAAAATTAATATTTCGTTTACTTGTTTAATACCTACATAGTTTAATTTGAAATATTTGGCGCCCATTTAAATAAACATCTTTTAATAAAACTTAAATTTTTAGTAACCAACACCAACACACGATCTAGCTCACGAAGTCAAACTGACAACTAGCCGGCGTGTGCGTTTTTATTTATTAGTAAAAAATACGTTACACAATTTGGCGCCCAACGTGGGGCGGAGCAGAGTTGGTTACTACTACTGAGAATCTGAAATAAAACACAAGGAAAAGAGACAACAGGACAGTACTGGGTAAGTGCATTATTTTATG